GGGGATTTGCTCCAGACAGCATGTTATTATTAATCTGTTTTTATTCTGGGGCTATTTTGCCTGCATCACCTCAAAAAATGACTTTGATGTCTTCCCTAAGCCCAGCTACACTTCAGACAGACTATCTTTACAGAGTGCAACAGCATTCCAGCAACTCTAGCACTGACTTATGGGTAAATCAATGGTGCAGTGTTGCAGTATAAGGAAAGCACAAAATATAGTCCTTGCCCTTAAAGACAGGAAGGCCTTTCCTCTTGTCAGACATTTGGGGAAGCTTGGGGGATGGTTCTGCCCGTAGTGAAGTCTCTGTGGTCAAAGGCAGTCAGCTCTGTGGAGAATGGACACATCTAAGGAAAATTGGACTTGACATTTATCAAGATGCTCCACTTGGGGGTGGTCCAAAAGGCCTTTTGGCACAACAGTTTTCTTCACAAAACTGGTTCCCACGCTGCATCCAACAGTCTTCCAGTATACTCCTTCCTGGACAGGAAGCTTGTCTGATGCCGCTCACCAGTTCAGAATCAGAAGCCAGTATAATCACAGACTATACCTGAACATCGTGTGGACTGCTCTAGAATGCTATCGATGAGGGATTTCGGTCTCTGCAAAGAATCCGGACAGGAAGCAGTCCTAGGACTGGAAAGAAAGATCCTAAAAAGCAATGCATGCAGACAGCCTCTAAAGTGGGTCAACCCTGGGCAATGGGAAATTTGGAAATATCTGCTTGGCCTGGGAGAATTCTCACCATGGATTTAAAAATCCCAGTCAGAGATGAGGTGAAAGCAGAAGCTGAGATGGTGGCACATGCCTGTGATTCCAGCACTTGGGAGACTGAGGTAGAAGGATTTCAAGTTTAAGGCCAACCTGGATTACTTCAAACAATAGCAGTACAAAGCAAGCTAGATTTGAGCATCATATGAGACAAGGTGAAATATAAACTTGTCTCAGAATCTTGCCATCCAATAATGATATAGCTTTTGAAGCTGTATGGACAGGATTGCTCCTTACACCACAATCAGCAGATGCTCGTCAGTCACTTCTTAAACAGTGAGTCACGGGACAGTAAGCAAGGAACTAGCTAATTGGGTCAGCTAGAGAGCTGAGACTGCAGATTCTGGGGGTCAGTAGTCACTGTGGCACATTGGCCCCTGTCATCTCAGACAAATGAAGGCCAAATGCATGCGAAGGGGATCTTTGGAGCCTCAAGGTTCTGGTCTTTTCATTTCTAGTTGGAAAAATCTCTTTCCAAAAGAAAAAAGGAAGGATAGACATGTTCTGCATAGTGTCATTTTAGTCAATGATAGACTGTACATATGACAGTGGTTCCCACGGATTAAATCTAGTTATACTAAGGCTACCTTAGTTTGTCTAAGTACACTCCAAGATGTTGGCACAATGACCAAAGTGCCTGATCATGCAGCAACACATGCCTCTATTTCAAAGAAGTAATCACATGCTCTCATGTTGAAATGGAGAAATCCAGCATTCTCATTTCTATGTCTGCTGAAACATATTCCTTGACACAGTTAACTCTAGAAGGAATTGTACAAGTTGCTACACAGAAAATACTAAGAATGTGGTATGAGCTGGGGCTGGTAGCTACTCAGGAGGCTAAGATCTGAGGATCACAGTTCAAAGCCAGCCCAGGCAGAAAAGTCCTTGAGACCCTTATCACCAATAAGCCACTCAGAAGAAACCAGAAATGGTGTTATAGCTCAAGTGGTAGAGCGCTAGCCTTTGAGCACAAAGAGACTCAAGGACAGCACCCAGGCCCTGAGTTCAAGCCCCAGGACTGGTGGGAAAAAAAAGAATCTGCTGTGCATCAACTTGTACAATTCCTGGTGGGGACCTATCTCAATGATAAAGAGTGCCGCCTAACACAAGCAAGGCCCCAGGCGTGATTGCCAGCAACCTCGGGTGGGGGAAAGAAACTACCAACTAACCAAGAAAAACAAACAAATACAAACCCAATAAAGGCACAGAAAGCTGCATGCCATTTTAAGATTTCAAGGTCTTATCTCTGAGCCAGGCTATGTAATCAAACAAGGAAATGTAAATGTAATGACCTTTTGATGACTAGCCTGGTTAACGTCGCTTTTGATGTTTACTGGCATTGTTAATTAAGCAGTCTGTAACTCTACCCTCAAGTTAAGTGCAGAAAAACCTCAACTCCTGAAAGTGAACACGACTCTCACTGCATTAACAATCCTAAGGCAAGGGGTCAATGAGCTGACCAAAGAACCCAGGGGAGCTTGTCTCAGAGGACACCAGATATGGAGTCTGGTTGTTGAAAAGTGCATGATTCGTCCTCTTATCACTCTTTTAAAGAACTGTGCATGGGGGGGAGGGGGGAGGCTGGGAAGGGATGTGAAGGGTAAACAAAGGAGGAGGCTGCAATGCTTGGTAAGAAATGTATGCATTATCCTGCCCATGTAATTGTAACTCCTCTGTACAGCATGTTCACAAATAAAATTAAATTAAATTTAAAAAAATAAATAAATAAAGAACTGTGCAATAATAACTTTCCAAGCAACTGACTGGTGTTTTAACATACTGGGTTACTAAAGTTGTTAGAAGAAATATCTGGATCTAAGAGAATCTGGTAGCACTACGTGAAAGAGTAGCATTTATATATCCTCATATATTAAGGATATTTGTGCACTGAGAAAACTATGTCTGAGAAGCAGCCAGGGTCAGCTAAAAAGCAGATCAAAAAACAGGTGAGTTGGGGGCTGGGAAGATGGCTCAGTGGTAGAGTGCTTGCCTTGCATGCATGAGGCCCTGGGTTCGATTCCTCAGCACCACATAAGCAAAAAGAAAAAAGCGGGAAGTGGCGCTGTGACTCAAATGGTAGAGGGCTAGCCTTGAGCTGAAAAGCTGAGGGACAGTGCCCAGACCCAGAGTTCAGGCCCCACAACTGGACCAAAAACAAACAAACAAACAAAACAGGTGAGTTGAGGCCATTCTGGCACAATCGTTTTTTCCCCCCAGTTCTGAGACTTGAATTCAGGGCCTGGGCATTGTCCCAAGCTCAGGACAAGTACTCTACCACTTGGGCCACAGCACCACTTCTGGCTTTTCTGTTTATGTAGTACTGAGGAATGGAACCCAGGGCTTCATGCATGCTAGACAAGCACTCTATCACTAAGCCACACTCCCAGTCATGCTGGCACAATCTTAATATTTTTCTTCCCCACACATCTCTAGTGTAGACGCATTGCTGACACATGAGAACAATATTCATCTCTCCCGTTACACTGCTGTACTAAGTAACCTTGAAGATAATACCTGTCCTTCTGACCGCTCCAAAGGGTCTAAATGTTTTCACGGCCTCTCCTTCATCCGTCTCCAATCCAATCAAGGACATTTTGGAACACATTGATTTCCTAAGACACTGCCATGAAATTGCACTGTCCCTCGCCCAGCAACCATTCTGTGAAAGTGTCCTTAGTGCACTGAACTGAAGAACCAAGCACTCCTGAAAGATGTTTCCTATTTTTTTCTCTTGCCTACTGTTTCTGTCTTTCCTCTTTGTTCATTCAACAAGTATTTATTCCATCTCCACTATGTGCATGGGTCAGAACTAGGTACTGTCACTATCAGAGCAAACAAGAGAGTCCCTCTTGGGGCTGGGATGGTGGCTCAGTGGTAGAGCGCTTGCCTTGCATGCATGAGGCCCTGGGTTCGATTCCTCAGCACCACATAAGCAAAAAGAAAAAAGCCGGAAGTGGCACTGTGGCTCAAGTGGTAGAGCGTTAGCCTTGAGCTGAAGAGCTGAGGGACAACGCCCAGGCCCAGAGTTCAGGCCCCACGACTGGATCAAAAAAAAAAAAGAGAGTCCCTCTCATGGAAAAACATTTGAATAGTGGAGGCAAATATTTTTAGATAGTGCTTAGTGCCAGGAAGGAGATAGATGGGTAGAGAATTCAGTCAGTGTAAGACAGAGGGGAGGGAAAGCTGAGCCTGGAAAGTCAGGGAAGTGAAGTGCTCCCGGAGGAGCTGACAGCTCACAGATGTAGGCAGCAAGCATAAAAGATCCCAGAGAAAAGCACCCCAAGCACAGGAAAGTGATACAAAAGGCCCCGAGGTAGCACAGACAAGAGGACTGAAGGCAGACTTAGGTGGCCAACAATGAACACAGAAGGATAGATAAATGAAGCAGAAGGGATAGGGCTTGAAGGCCAAGCACAATGCTTGTTGTAATTCTAGAGAATTGAGGAGTTTGTTTTAAGCAGGGCCTGAGCTATCTCAAGAAGCAGAGTTAATGAGGATTCTGTTACCCATGCAAGGGCCGAACAGCTGCTTTCTAACATGACTTCCACTGACTCCACACCTCCTACCACAAGTATGCAGCTGGGTTTTTCAGCCCTAAGCACAAGGATTTATATTTGTCCTCACAGATTTTTATCCCCAGACTCGGTCTATTCCCTCAGGCCATCAAAACCTTGTGGACCTTCTTACTACTAATACTCTCCACTCCAGCTTTTCTTTAGAAAAGAGAAGGAATATGCAAATGGATAAGAACCAACTAGAAAAAGAGCTGACAACTGAGAATCATCAGAAAGAGTGTTTAAATTTTAAGCCATGAAGAGAGCCCACAGACATTTGAGCTAGAGTCTGGGCCTACTTTTTCTACCACAATCACTCTCTGGAAGTCCCCAGGAGTCAGTGTGCCATGGGAGGAATGAAGGCGAGTACCTGTAGCAACTGCAAGCTGATTTCCCATTAGCCATTATCACTCATGTGGCAGACACTTGTCAGGTGCTGCTCTGTGCCAGGCACACTGCCCTCAATTGTTCTCAAGTTCAATGTCTCCTGCCTGCAGAGATCAGATTAGTAAGCATTTTCTCTACTTCTAGTCTGTGAACTCCTACAGTACATAGAACTATGTAGTTGAGTTAGTTATGAATGTCAAAAAGGCTCACTCAAAAGGGTTCATAGTAGAGCAAGAGGCCTTGAATTCAAACCTCAGTTCTGCCAAAAAAAAAAAGCTTCATGAATAATGAAAGGATTTATATTTATTAGAAATCAGTCTATTATTCAAAAGCCACACAATTTCTCACTTAGAGGACACTTAATAAAATATACATCTTAAAAAGTCAGAATGCTTTTTACACATAATTCCATTGGAGAAGCAGAGTAAAAATAGGCAACAATCATTTACACAATTTCATACAATAATCCGGATAATATGCAAGATTTTTCTGGATATGTCTTTGTGGCTAATCAACCACACACCAAGGAGAGACCAAAGTTCAGGTGTGCACAGCCCACAAAGCCTCCAGAGAGGGTGCCATCTGGGACCTTGCTTCTCTCAGTGAGACACGGGGGTGGGCTAACATCAGGAGGAAATGCACACTGGGCTTCTTACCCAGTCTTCTAGTATCATCAACTATCAAACCATTTGCTCCTCTTTGCTAGAGGTGCTCCTTTAGAAGGTCCCAACAATTTCTGCTTGTACTGTTCAACTAATTGGTTGAAGTGAGTTTCTGCCTTATTTCCCTTAGTCTTTTTCCTAGATACCTACAAAAGAAAGGAGATATAAGTCAGTAATTTCAAACACTAAATATTACCTTATCCTCATACGACACAAGAAAGAAATTAAGTAGGTACAGAGATCATGTTCACCAGGAAAAGGTGGATTTCCAGAGAGATTCTTAGGAAGAAAAGATCAAAAAGATCCATTGATTAGAAAGTGAAGGGGAGCAGGACCTGACTTAAGCGCTGTCTGGGGTTTCAGAAGCTTCTATCACTGTAGTTCCCAAATGCTCCCCTTCATCTGAACATAGCCCAGAGTTTGAACATTCTTACTTGACCTTGCCCTCATCAAGATACTTGACAGCATTTACAGCAAAAGCTCCAGAATGTAGTATGGTATAGTCAGAAATTTTCTGGAAACAAATTTCTTGAGAATGGGAACCTAATGATTCTTTTACTCTTTTATTTATTTATTTATTGGTCAGTTGTAGGGCTGGGTGCTTTCTCTGGGCCTGGGTACCGTCTCTCAGCAATTCAGCTCAAGGCGAACGCTCTACCACTTGAGCCTCAGTGCCATTTCCAGTTTTCTGAGTGGTTTATTGGAGATTAGAGTCTCACAGACTTTCCTGCCTGGGCTGGCTTTGAACTATAATCCACAGATCTCAGCCTCCTGAGTAGCTAGGATTATAGGCATGAGCCACTGGCGCCCAAGTGGACCATTATTTTCTATGAAAGCTCTTTGGGATAATGGCTGTCAGGACCAGGAAAGAAGTGTGTAAGATGATTCTGGTACAACTTGTACAAGAAGACAACACTACCAAAGATAGATAAGGTCTTGTCTGAGGAGCTGCCAGTTCTTTAATCTGAAGACTTACTGTGTGTTCAATTACTCAAGGTATGCTACTGCTGGCAGCTCACAATGGCCTCACACCATACCAAACCCGGTGTCCTTCAGAACTCACCTGCATGGAAGACAACTGCTGCTTCTCTTGCTTCCTCTTGTTTACCTGGGGTTTTGGCTTCTTAGGAGGGAGGGATTTTACCTTGCCTTTGTCTCGCAACCTGAAATAAAATGACCAGGTAAGTGTCACCCTGAGTTCTCCCTCCAATCTGCATCTCTCTTCTCTACAGCAATTCTTAAGGCCAATCACTCTTAAAAGGAATCCCACAACCCAATCTCAACATTAATGTACTCACAGAAATCAGAGACCTCCATTTACTTAGTAAATATTTTTCAAGGATCTACTTTAGTACATAGCACTAATCTGTCACACCATATGTGTGTGGTCTGAGCTGACAGAGCCAGCCATGTGCAGAAGAGGAAGCTCTTCAAAGAAAAAGAGTGGACTGAAAGCTTCTCTGAGGCCACTCTGTGATGTGATCAAGAGTAACATCTCGGATGGTGCAGAGACTTGAGCACCAATCTCCCATGCAGAATTGGCACAGCTTAAGCATGCTTATCACACAGACAAATGCCAAAAAAGAGGCAACAAGTGAGGTAAACACAGATACACTTAAAAACTTCCCTGTTTTATGAAACCGTCCCAAATCTCACCTAATCTTGGGGCCTCGATGTGAGGGGAGCGCCAGGACCTTTCTTCTCTTCTTCCCATCTGGCAGCTCCACCTGCTCTACTTCAGCCTTGGTCTGAAACCCTGCCCATGAGGTGGAAGCCACTTTCCTGGTCTGCTCTTGGGGAGCCTTGTTTTGTTCTGATGGGAGATTCTGAACCGCCTCCTGCTGCTTGTCTTTTCCAGATTCTTTTTGCTTCTTTTGGGGTTTATTGTTTGAAGGCTTTGATTTCATTTTTTGCTGTAAAACAAGGAATTTCCCCCTGGTTTCTGCATGAGACTTTAAAAATACTTAGAGGAAGAACTTTATGTGAGCTTGTTGAAAGAAGGGAACATTTTTTCCCCCACACTCTTGGGAGACTTCAGAAAAGTGAATGGAAAGTAAGCAATCCACAAGCCCTGCCAGTGTAATGGACTGTTACTGGTGGAGAACACAGAACTCCCTTTCCCGTAACATAGAAATAGGGAGAGAACACTCACCCATCTCAAAAGCCAGCAGCAAGGGAAATTATGAAAGTTGTAACACACATGGAAAGCAACCCAGGATTAAAAAAGAAAGCAACAGAGAAAATAACTAAAGTAATAACACTTGGAGACTTAGGGAATTGAGAGTAATGAATGAAAAGCCCTAATTGGGCAGAACCACAAACTGAAGAGAAGCTTAATTATGTCCTTCAAAAACTGAGCCAGGCGCCGGTGGCTCACGCCTGTAATCCTAACTACTCAGGAGGCTGAGATCTGAGGATCATGGTTCAAAGCCAGCACAGCCAGCAAAGTCCATGAGATTCTTATCTCCAATTAACCACCAGAAAACCAGAAGTGTCACTGTGACTCAAGTGGTAGAGTACACTCCTTGAACTGAAGAGCTGAGGGACAGCGCCCAGGCCCAGAGTCAACCCCCATGACCGACAATAAATAAATAAATAAATAAATAAATTGGGGTGCAGTAGCTCATACTTATAATCTTAGAGGTGGAAATCAAGAGAATCATCATCCAATGCCAGCCAGGGCAAAAAGTTTGAGACCTCATGTCAACCAATAAAAAACTGGGCATAGTGGCTCATGCCTGTCATTCCAGTTACCTAAGAAGCATAAATAGGAGGACTGTGATCCACGCTGCATAAATGAAAGGCTCTATTAGAAAAAACAATGAGAGCAAAAAGGAATGTGGCTCACGTTGTAAAATGCCTGTTTGACAGGCCCATGGCTCTGAGTTCAAAATCTAGTACTGCCAGAAAAAAGAAAAAAAATTAAGTTCCATACCAGGCCTCTCTGGATCCTTAGTTCCTTCATTTTAAGTTTCCTCCGATCTTCCAGAGAGAACTCCACTATTGGTCTCTATGGTGGGGGGGAGGGGGGAGAATTCATTTATTAGACTTTGTAATGTGTGAATACAATAAGCTGAGCTATCCTCCCCATTTACATCTCTCTTTGAAAACATGAGGCCAGTTCTGAAAGCAAATTACAGAGCTACTTATAACTTGGGATTACCACTCATTTCCCCCAGCCCCATCCTCTCCACTTGCTACTCTTTCTACCACTCAAATGTCAGAGGACACTGGACATTTCTGCAGAGGAACAATTGGGAGCAGGTCTTCTTAAGGATGAGGCTTACCTTCTGAGGCCCAAAGATCTCTGGATTATTGTTGATATGGCGGAGCGCTCTCAGGGCATGCTCATGCTCCTGGAACTCTGCAAAGGCATAGCCCAGAGACTGGCCCTTCACTTTTCCTTGGGTTCCTTTAAGGTCTCGCATCACTCTACACTACAAGGAAAAAAAGATAAAGAAGCAGTTGCTGGGCACCAGTGGCTCATATATATATAATCCTAGCCATTCAGGAGGCTGAGATCTGTGGATCTTGGTTCAAAGTCATTCCCTGCAGAAAAGTGTGTGAGATTCTTATGTCAAATAATATCCAGAAAACTGGAAGTGGAACTGTGGCTCAAAGTGGTAGAGCACTACCCTTGAAGAAAAAGCTCAGGGACAGCACCTAGACTTTGAGTTCAAGCCCACGACTGGCTCCCTATTCCCCCCCCCCCAAAAGAAGCAGTTATTAAAGAATGAGAAGCCTTGTCTGACATCAACTGTGTTGACAGATTCCATGATGTAAACGGAAAGAGACTCTTTATTGGCACCACCGCCTCAGAAAACATACTAGAAAACCACTTATGAATGTCTGATTAAGATATTCCTATTGACAGCACAAAACAGGGTAGATATTTTCTTCCCTTCCAAATGTTTATAGGCATCAACAAAGACCTAAAAATGTGCCCATAAAGAGTAAAATTTGGAGGAACTTCACAATTTGTGCAGCTGAGAGGCACATAGTACTCTAGAGTGCACAGCAAGTTATTCCTAAGAATGGAGAGCTGTCTACAGATCTCTGATGAAGAAAGTCCCACTAAATACAATTCCTGGAAAAAGGAGGGAAGAAAGCCTGATGGCTTTGATGAAAAAAAAAAAGAAAGCTTCTCATTATACAGGAAGAAGTTTCAGGTTCTCTTTGTTTGGAATCAGTGCCACTCTGGCATGCTATTTTCCCCATATCCTTATGCTGGGTAAGGTAAGCATCCTGACACCTTGAGATACAGTAGGGATCTTTCTTAAAAATTCATTACTTACATGCTCTGACTCCCTGAAGCTGCTTTTCCTACATAATGGAGAAGTGTAAATATGGGGGACATATGAATGCTACACTAGTTTACATTCAGTATCCACTCCATACTCAGACACTACTCTGCATGGCAGAAGAATCAAGAGAAGCATGAGTAACTTCCTATCCTAAAGATGCTCATTACATTACTGCAACACAATATTTATCCAAATGAATTAATTAGGAAAAAAAACAATCAAACACACATATTATAAACTGTAACAGGATTTAAGCAGGCATTCATCTACTGAATACTGCAGATGCTGATATGAAAAATTACACAACTGACAGGCACCACTAGCTCACACCTTTAATCCTAGCTACTTAGGAAGTTGAGATCTGAGGATCACGGTTCAAAGACAGCCCAGGTAAGAAAGTCCATGGGACTCTTATCTCCAATAAACCACCAAAAAACTAGAAGTAGCTTTGTGGCTCAAGTGGTAGAGCTAGACTTGAGCTGAACAGATCAGGGGCAGCACCCAGGCCCAGAGTTCAAGCCCCATGACCAACCAAGAAAAGTAAGGAAAATTACACAACGACAGCTACACCAGTCATACCTCGAGCGGTTTACTAAGAGTGTTGTCAAATATGTGCTGGTAAATTCATGTTTTCTCACAACATTGCCTCAGTGCCCAATGCATACGTTTTGAAAGGGTTTTTAGGGGTAAGAATAATAAGGCTCAGAAAGCAGACTCTTAACTACCAGCAAGAGCGCTTTTTTTTTTTTTGGTTGTAGGGCTTGAACTCTGGGCCTGGGCACTGTCCCTCAGCTCTTCAGTTCAAGGCAAGTACTTCTACCTCTTGAGCCACAGCACCACTTCTACTTTTCTGGTTAAGGTTTATTAGAGATAAGAGTCTCATGGACTTTCTTACCTGGGCTGTCTTTGAGCCGTGATCCTCAGATCTCAGCTTCCTAAGTAGCTAGGATTATAGGCGTGAGCCAGTGGTGCCTGTGGTGCCCAGGCTGGCTTTGAACCATAATCCTCAGATCTCAGCCTCCTGAATAGCTACGATTCCAGGCATGAGTCACCAGTGCCTGGCAACAATAGCACTTTTTTTTTTAGTTTTTTTTTTATTGTGAAAATACTGTACAGAGGGGTTACAATTACATGAGCAAGATAATGAGTACATTTCTTATCAAGCATTGTAGCCTCCTCCTTGGTTTACCCTTCACCTCCCTTCCCATCCTTCCCCCACCCCCCAACAATAGCACTTTTTAATAAACATAAATTGAAACATTATTTTTTACTGAGTATCATACAAAAAGCTGAAGATAATGAGATACTGCTTGCTCAGTCTGGTCAAGACAACTTGACACGACAATTTCAGTAAATGGTATAAAGGAGACACACAAGGATGCCATGTGACAGAAAAAAGAACTCTATTCACAGCGTCAACCAAGTCCTGTTGTAAATCCAGTGTTTGCCAAGTCACCTGCCAAAGACGTACATGGCTCACCAGGCCACGAGGGATTCTCACCATTGTCAGGTTACAGCCTAACTGGTATCGCACCATTTGTTTTCTCTGAAACAAAATTTCTAGCACCCAAGGTAATGTTGAGAAGACAACAGGCACTTAATAAATGCTTGCTAAATAAATTCATGAGAGACTACTTCACATCCTGTTACCTTTGAGATATGAAAGGCAGATCTCAAAAGAAAAACAAAAACAAAAGCCTTTCAAACTCAGCCTTGCATTCTGATGTGTCCAAAGAAAACTATTGACATGCTGGCACCACAGCCAGAAATAAATGCCTGATCTGACCCAGAATGAGAATGTAAGTCTGAATGGCAGAGCAACTCTCACCTCCTTGATGCGCGCCCCTTTCTCCCCTCTAGTGGCATCTAGTAGCAGCTTCCTGAGCTGTTGGTCATTCACAGACTTTGGAAGATTGTGCAGGCAGATCCTTGTCTGGGAGACAAATATATTCTGGTTCTTGAGTTTCTGATGCTTTAGTAGCTCAAACTGGAAAAATAAATTGTTAGCAGTTCAATACATCCTTTTAAAAGGCAGGCTCATAATTCTCCAAAAAGAATCAGGACTCCATCCTATAACCAGACATAGAATAAAGAAGGGAATCACCTATTCTTCTTTCTCACAATCTAAGTGGAGAAAGAACATGAAATTTTAAGGTTCAATTATTTCATACACAATAAAATGGAACTGCATTGAGTGAAGGTCACTCAGACCTATAATCCTATGTACTCAGGAAGCTGAGATCTAAGGCTCATGGTTCAAAGCTAGCCCAGGCAGGAAAACCCTTGAAATTCTTTATCACCAATTTGCAAAAAGCCAGAAATGGAGCTGTGGCTCAAGCCTTGGACAAAAAGAAGCTGAGGACAGTGCCCAGGCCCTAAGTTCAAGCCCCAGGAACTGCAGATCAAAATATGACTCTCCACAATGTGAAGCCAAATGAAATTATATATAAAAGTATTACTACCAGGCTGGGAAGGTGGCTCAGTGGTAGAGCGCTTGCCTTGCATGCCTGAGGCCCTGGGTTCGATTCCTCAGCACCACATAAGCAAAAAGAAAAAAGCCGGAAGTGGCACTGTGGCTCAAGTGGTAGAGTGCTAGCCTTGAGCTGAAGAGCTGAGGGACAGCGCCCAGGCCCAGAGTTCAGGCCCCATGACCGGACCCAAAAAAAAAAAAAAAAAAAGTATTACTACCTCAAAATGGGGCCCAGCAAAAATATTCTTATAAATAATACTGTGGTTAATTTGGCATCGATGCCTAGGCCCCAATTACCCACCAACTTAAACTAATTACCTAGTGCTTCTTCCCAAAAAGAACTGGGACTTATTAAAAGAATACTTCGTAATATGGTGTCTCATCTCAAGTCTGCCACCTTGAGGCAAAAACACGTCATGACCACAGAAGCACATTTTGCTCTTAGAAGAGCTCCCCAACTATGCTGCCTCCAACACCAGTTTCTCAGAGTGACTATCATTGAAACAAAATGTAGGATGACATTCTCATAATTTGTTTTAAAAAACTAAGCAGAAAAAAAACTCTCAGTACTCTTCTTTTATCAAATCTTCTTAGTCCTGCTATTTCTTGTTTGGTAAAGGAACCAACAAATTGCAAAATAAATACTCTGGAAATGAACATCTGGAAGGCATATCTGAAGAGGCTACCATGTCTAAGTTCAACAGACTATTTTTCTCCCAGGAAAAGCTGTGACTGATGTGAATTTAAAATGTATACATATAAAAGTGAGCATTTTGCTAGCAAAATTAATTTTAAAATTCAGTATGTCATTATTGTACTATGGTTAGAAAGGACATAAAATGCTTCTCCGAACACCACTATAGCCAATGTTTATTGCCAAAAAGGTTGAAAATACCAGTATAGGGAGGAGGGGGGAGGAGGATAGGGAGGGGGGGACGGGGGGGGGGAGGATGGGAAGGAATGGGAAGGGGAAACAAAGGAGGAGGCTACAATGCTTGATAAGAAATGTACTCATTATCTTGCCCAATGTAATTGTAACCCCTCTGTACAGTATTTTCACAATTAAAAAAAAAGAACCCCTGTACGTGGAAGACCCACTGTCATTAGCCTCACCTCTGCTCAGAATCTGACACTTCAAGACTCTACAGCTAATTCTGCCAATAGTTATACATCTTTGCCACTCTGGGCTGGTTTGTTTAAGTAATCTACTTGGGCAAAAGTAACAATTACTGAGAAGTGACATTACCAAGCAGTAAAGGAATTTTAACAGTATCAGTTTATAGTAGAAACTCCTAGAACATGGAGTTTTACCCAAATGATTTTTATCATCAGGAAATACAATTCCCTCCAAGTAATAACTACTTCCTCCAAAACTCACATCTCTTCCCTATCCTAATAATTCCAGCCCATACTGAGCTTTTTGATATTCTTCTACATTTATACCAATAATTATACACAACCCCAACCTCTTGTGTCTGTGTGACTTACCAGCACACTACTGAACAAATGTTTACTGCTGGTATTAGAGAAGAAAAAAAGAGTAATACCCAGTTCTTATAATGGTGCAGAATGCTTCTTCAATACTGTGAATAATGTAGGGTTATTTGCTCTTTCACCTATAATAAGAATATAAATAGGATTGGCAATCTATACCTAGCTCTCCAGTGAGCAAAATGTTGCATTCAATTGTTTTTGATTGACTTCTCAACCATGCGGAACTTAGTTAAAGGCTGGTGCCTGATCGACCTACCCGCTCTCGTTTGGCCATATCTGAAGCACTCACACCCTCGGCTGCCTTGGTCCCAGCTCGAATCACTGCAGAAAGAGGGCAAAAGGCCAAGACATCACCAAGGGAATTTTCACTGAGCAACAAGTGGAATGCGATTTGAATGATGCAAACTCTTTGTACAGAGCCCAGAGGACTATGTTGGCCAAGACATGGTGGCATTTGGTTAGATCCAAAAATGGGCTACAGGCTAAGGTCTGGGCTTAAAGCTTTTCTTGAGGACTAAAAATCTGAACATTTTTTGACTTCATTTATCTCTCCCCTCAAAGAAGCTTGATAATACATAACCAAAGTTAGAAACATGAGAAGGACATTGTGAAGTTAAGTATAATTTAGGCCTTTGGAATATAGTGTATTCCACCTAATAACCTCACCCTGAAACTTAGTGGCTCCCCAGTACCCGACAGAACTATCAAAATGGCCGCTTAGGATCAAAGGCTGACAACCTGACATTAACAGTTGGGACTGCATAGCTATAAGGGAGACAAGCAGATAAATACTGTGATCTAGACAAAAGGATTTTTTGTTTTTAACTTAGAATGAATTTGATTACATTTCTGACACTGAAAGATATGAGATGTACATTTAAATTTATGAATAATACAAAAGTAATTTTAAGCAATTTTCAATTCCTTCAGAAAACCTCTGATCAGAAATGATGACAAGAAGCAAAGATAAGTTTGAATTCTTCCTGTCTCTGAGCCTTACAAATGCTGTAAAGTCTAGAGGCAACCAGGCAAAAAAGAGAACTAAGGACTATAGGCAACAGCCATGAATAAAAAAGACCAGGTGATGGGGCTGGGAAGGTGGCTCAGTGGTAGAGCACCAGCCTCGCATGCATGAGGCCCTGGGTTTGATTCCTCAGCACCACATAAAGCAAAAAGAAAAAAAGCCAGAAGTGGCGCTGTGGCTCAAGTGGTAGAGTGCTAGCCTTGAGCTGAACAGCTGAGGGACATCGCCAAGGCCCAGAGTTCAGACCCCACGACCGGACCCCCCCCCAAAAAAAATAAAAGGCCAAGTGAGAGAGTGGGATCAAGTCCAAGCCCTGGTATTGGCAAAATGAATAAGAAATACATAAATAAGAAAATGCACTTGTAAATGAATATACATACACAGGAGAACAAAACTGGGTAAGCTAGGGCACCAGTGGCTCACTCCTGCAATCCTAACTACTCAAGAGAGCCTGAGATTTGAGGATGGAGGTTCAAAGCCAGCCTGGACAGGAAAGTCTTGAGTTTGTTATCTCCAATTAATCACCAAAAATCCAGAAATGAAGCTATAGCTCAAGTCATAGTGCAGTCTTGAGCAAAAAAACTTAGGGACAGTGCCCAGGGCCAGAGTTCAAGCCCCAGTACTAGCACAAAGAAAAAAAAAAAAAAACCTTGGTTAATACACAAATAGGTGAAAGCTAAAGTGGAATAACAATATAATTACCATTAAGGAGGAATTCTTCTTAATGTGAAACATGACCTGAAACATACAACTTCTAGATTTACTGTCATGGCATGGGGCCAGCTACTTAGATGTCTGGTTCACATCTCCTCCACTACTCACAGCCTTCTCGGGCCAGATAGAGATTGCGGGTCCCAGTTGGTTTCTTCACCTTCTTTTTCTGAAGCTTTGCAGCCTCATCCCGGGTAACCGCCAGGTCCATCTTGAGCTGCCGGCCATCCAGTCTAAGCCCACCACCCTGTAACAGATTGCAACCCTCTCTTCAAGTACATATAAGCAGTAACCAGAACCTGAGAAGGAATGCCAAGAAAAGGGAAACAGCACATTCCAATTATTCTATGGAAGGCAGGCCCCTGAGTGTTTCTGCCTGGCTGGCTACAAGTGGATCCCTGAGTCTCACAATATTTAGTGTAGCTGCCCCAAAGGTCATATGTATACTTAAGTCAGCAGCGGGGTGCCAATGGCTCACATCTGTAATCCGTGTAGCTGTGGCTCAAAGTGGTAGAGCACTAACCATGAACAAAATAGCTCAAAGAAAGCACCCAGGCCCTGAGTTCAAGCCCTACAACTGACAAAAAAAAAAAAAAAAAAGCCAATCCCACGGACATTACTTAGCTGTTCCTCACCTAAGAAATAGGAATAACTAAAAAAAGAAAAAGAAAAAAGAAAAAAAAGAAATAGGAATAACTATTTCATACAGTGATTAAGTAAGGTAATGATTGTAAAGTTCAATGCCTATCACACACTAAGTGTTCGAAAACTGTTAGCTTTATTGTTATTATTACTACTATACCAATACTAATAAACCTTCATGGAAACATCAAATGTTGCCCCTAGGAGTCAGTTTTCTATGTGTGAGACGGTGGGAGGGTGGGGAGACATCTTTCTTACCTCAGTCTCTGGAGAAGCAGCTGCAAGGCATTTCTGAGCAGCTTCCTGAGTCATAAACTGTGCAAATGCACAACCTGCACATAGATATAGAAGTGAGACCTGAACTCTCATTGGCCCAGCTACAAGACAAAGAGAGTTCTACAAACAACCTGACAGTCCTGACCTGATACAGATGAAGGAGTAAATAGTATCTATTTATTAGTACTATGAATCAGGCACTGTTTGGCAATAAAGGGTCAGAGGCAACTATGATAGCATACGTGTAATGAAATTTTATTACTTCCTTTGCCTTTTCTAGTGAATCTAAGAATTTTGGTCTTATCAATTCTCTCCTTAGTAATAGTCACATGAAATGGCAGAGAAATTCCAGCAGAACATTTAATTCAGCACATCTTATTAAGTGCCTATTAGAGGACTGAAAGATGAGGCAGGAACTACTTAACCCTGAAATTAACATCATCTCACTGTCTCCAAGTCACTTGGGAGGCATCAGGTAACAGCACATCTGCCTCCTGGGATAAAAGAGGTCCCTATTACATGAATATCATAGGAAACCTGAAAGCCATGAGCATAATTCTTGGCTCCTGCTCTAGAATCTCCATAAGGCATGGCTCTTATGATTAGATGTAGGACCAATCAGACTGAACAAATTTCTGCATTGGCAAAAAGTGGCTTTTGGGCTGGAGGTATAACTCAGGTTGTATAGTGCTTATCTAACAAGCACAAACCCTGAGTTTAAATGCCAGTGCTGCCCTCTTCACCACAAAGAAAAAAAAGCTTTTTAAGTTCACCTCACAGTAGATTCCAAAAAAAAGTAACTTTCAATCTTTTGTTGGTACGCCTTTAAACTTTAGATATTCTTTCATTGAAATGAAAGCAAGCACCATCCTATCTCCTAGAGCTATTGGGGTACTACCTTGGCCCCTATAGGAATGAATGGCATCAGTTAAAGGGACCCATGTGGCAGGCCAAACTGAAGGGTCATCTAGAGATATCTCTGTCTCCTCCAATCAGAGCTGAGCACTCCCTCTTGTGTTCCCACTCCTCCCACCCTCTATCCACACCTCTAATAGCACTAGTAAGGTGTATCTTCCAAAACACAGTGAATGTTTCAGAAATAAGAACTGCAAAAAAAGAAAGAAAGAAAGAAAGAAGAACTGCATACCACAATGTATATAATTAACTGATACCAGATAGGGGGAAAATACAGTCCAACTTCCATATCCAGGGGCTCATTTAGAAAAAAACAAGTGTGTCTATAATGAACATGCACAGCCTTTTTCCCCTTGTCATTCCCTAAACAATATAGTTTAACAGCTATTACATTATATTAGGCATTGTAAATCATGTAGAAATAGTTTAAAGCATACGGGAGGTGTGTAGGTTATACGAAAGTTCTGTGCCATTTTACATAAGGAACTTGAGTACCTACAGATTTTTGTTCTGCTATGATTTAGAACCAGTCTCCATCGCTACTGCAGGAAAAGTGTAATTAAATAAATATGGGGACAGGTTTCTAATAGGCAGATTAACCTAGTCATCCATTATCAAGAATACAGGTCCTTCTAATTGGGTAAGAATTTTATCATTGAAATTTCCAGGGTCAGTACTTTAAAATAGCCCCCAAAGCTGTAAATAATATACAGCTCTCTAGGTAGTAAAATGGCATGTTCAGGATAAACCCATAGGAGGAGCACAATGTACAGGAGTAGGCAGAAAAATTTAATATGAGCTAGGGAAAAAAAATACATTAAGGGCTAGGAAGGTGGCTCAGTGGTATAGCGCTTGCCTTGCATGCCTGAGGCCCTGGGTTTGATTCCTCAGCACCACATAAGCAAAAAGAAAAAAGCCGGAAGTGGCACTGTGGCTCAAGTGGTAGAGCGCTAGCCTTGAGCTGAAGAGCTGAGGGACAGCGTCCAGGCCCAGAGTTCAGGCCCCACGACTAGATCCAAAAAAAATACATTAAGAAAAAAAAATTATAGGGCTGGGAAGGTGGCTCAGTGGTAGAGCGCTTGCCTTGCATGCTTGAGGCCCTGGGTTCCATTCCTCAGCACCACATAAGCAAAAAGCCAGAAGTGGCGTGGTGGCTCAAGTGCTAGAGCACTATCCTTGAGCTGAAGAGCTGAGGGACAGCACCCAGACCCAGAGTTCAGGCCCACGACTGGACCCAAAAAAAAAAAATATACTTTTAAGATCATTAACTGTGATGGGTGCCAGTGGCTCACGCCTGTAATCCTAGCTACTCAGGAGGCTAAGAGCTGAGAATCGCAGGTTGAAGCCCACCTGGGCAGTAAAGTCTCTAAGACTCATCTCCAATCAACTACTCAGAAAAAGCCAGAAGTGGTGTTGTGGCACAAGTGATAGAGCATTAGCCTTGAGCAAAAGAAGCTTAGGGACAACACCCAGGCCCAGAGTTCAAGCCCCAGGACTGGCAAAAAAAAAAAAAAAAGAGAGAGAGAGGGATCATTAACTGTTAACAGACCAAAAAGACATCTAGCAAATCAATTGTAGACTATATTCCTAAAGTGTCATCCCTTTATACTACTGTACTCAAAATAGGATTAAAGATGCAGGATACCATTAAAGTAAAATATAATATCATACCTGCCATATCATACCTGTACTTAAAACACTCTAAGCAATTCTAGTTACCCTTTTTAGAAAAACACAGCAGGAATGAAGAAAACCCAAAAAGTACAATTTAACATTAGAAGACACCTAGGTAGTTACTCTAGTTGAACCCAGTCATTTTGCCTAAGAAACATAAGTCTACAGCAGCTCAATAGCTGCTCTGTGGCATAGCTGGGATTACACTCCTAATCCCAGGAAGCTGTTCAGTACTTGTTTACATTTTTTAGCTGAGTAAAATAATCAAAAGTTATTAAGTTTTATCAATCTGGAAAATAAGCTTTAGGATGAAGGTTCTTAACGCATGGATAAGTTCTAGAAAGCCCACAAACCCACAAAAAGTGGAATGTTACTGGTTTATAGCTTTGCTTAGATCTCAAAGAAATCAAGAATCAGAATAAATGTGACTTTAGCAGAATGATTGCAATCCATGAAGTAAAAGATTTCAATGGAGAGAAAAGATGCTTCCCTAACAGCGTAAGAAATGAGAACTGGTTAACCCTTGGAGGACAAAATGAATAGCTTCAGTAAAAAGTATGTCAGGCAGCACTCGTGCTACAGTTTTCCTTCTGACTGTTGCCACGCAACGAAGTTTCTCTGTCAGCTTCCATCTCTAACAAAAGCAATGAAGGAAAAAAGATCCCCAGTAATTTCAAGCACTGTGGAATGATTAATACCCATGAGATGCTATCACATTTGAAATTCAAAAAAGACAATAAATGGAATTCATTACCCTAAAGTAAATAAGCAAGAGCTTAAAAAGCTTAGACGAAATTATGTCTGGCAGCACCATTAAAATGCTGAGCTTGACATGATGGAAGACAACCTCAGAATGTCCTTGGGCTTCCTTGAAAGCCAGGGGCTGGATAGCTCATGGAGTCCCCAGAAGAGCATATATTATGCTCTCATTGTAACCTACTGGTGACCAGGAAAGTGGGTGCAACTTTCAGGGCCTTGAAAGCAAATAGCAAATACCTTTAGAATGCTCTGTGTCTGGATGCAAGACAATACGAACATATTTGAGATCTCCAAACTGCTGGAGGAGCTCCCCAAGTTGTTCTTCTTCTGAGTCAAATGACAAGTTTCTATGGAAAATAACAGATCAACTATGAAGTGAGATCTTACATTCTAGCACAGATAGTAAGACATCAATTGGTGTAGTTCCCTTTCTTATAAGTACCCCTCCCTGGTCTAGAAATAGCACAATACACAAAAGTGGCCTCCAATAGCCAGGTCTGTTGTATGACTCTGCTCCTTGATTCCAATTGACTTTATCAATCACGTTCTTGTACCCATGAATTTGATATTTAAATAAACATATACAAACTAAAATTGCAGATGCTGATTCACTACAAAAAGCAGCACAACCCACTTGAAGGAGAGTTCTGAGATACTGGAGATACTATCATTGTGACCTAGATAATGGTTACATGAATATATATCTATGAAAATTTCCACTGAGCTGTACCAATAGGGTAATGAACTTTACAGAATGTATGTTGTACCATAAAGAAAAACAAAACAAAACAAAAAGTTGCTAGGCCCTTTTTTAGTTCTCTGACAACCAATTCTATGAGCTGCTTCTATGTTCATTCAACAAACCCTAATTTTCACTTAACATGGCCCAAACTACTTTCTCATAAAACCAGAAGACTCACAGCAGACTAGCAAGAAAAATTCTCATTCATTCACTTTCTGTCTGTCTCTCTGTATCTGTCTCTCTCTTCCTCTTTGTGTGGCTATATTCTGCTTTAAAAGATAAGGCTTCTATAGCCAGGCACCAGTGGCTCATACCTATAATTCCAGCAACTCAGAAGGCTGAGATCTGAGGATCACTGTTCAAACAGGAACATCTATGAGACTCTTATCTACCAAAAAGCCTGAAGTGGAGCTGTGGCTTATAGCAGTGTGCTAGCCTTGAGCACAAAAGCTCAGGAACAGCGCCCAGACCTACAGTTCACACCCTAGGACAGAGAAATCATTTGGAACAAGTGGTATATCACCCCCTAAAACAAAAGCCAGAACCAACATGGTTTTAACAGCTGAGGAATTTCACTTGTCCCAAAAGATGCCCAATCAGGACTCTATGACCGGTTACCTTCCATTTTATAGTTTAGTTTCCTGTATTTCTCATCATTTGGTATATATCTGGGATCAGATAAGCTAATAATCTTAACACCATTTAACTTTCTGGATTAGATTAACAGAAACAGTACCCAAAAGACAGACAAGGAAGAGAGATGATGTGAAGGCGATCTGGGTGTGACATGTCAACTTACTAATCACCAGGGCTGATTTGGCTGATCTGGCTGGCTAGACAAGTGTCCTCTTCCTCCCTCACCATTACATATGCATAACTTCCAAAGGCACTCACTAACTAGGTCGAAGAGAATGGTCATCCTTAATAGTTGTGCTCCCCAAACAAGCTCCCAAGGAAGAAAAAGATGGAAGAAGGGAGAGGAGAAGAGAGAAAGGAGAAAAGAAAAAGGAGAAGGGACTATAATAGAGGAAGAAAGGGAAAAGAAAGGGAAGAAAGACCCATACAGGCAATGCAAACAGCACATCTCAAAGCAGACAGCATACCTGATAAAAATTGTTTTCCCTTCATTCACATCAGAGGGTAATTTCCTCTTCTTTTGCTTTAAAACTGGTCCATCTAAGGTTAAAAAGAAAAATAAACTGAAAAAGACTAATGCAGGTCAAATCACAAAAAGATTAGCTCCTTAAATATATGAAGATCTTGCATAAATTATTTTTTAATTTAGATGGACAAGCATAAGAAGACGCTCAAACTCATAATTTAAAAAAATACCACAGAAGATAAGGGAACAGTTCAGTGGTACAGCCTGTGTTTAACACACACAAGGTCCCGGCTTCCATCACCAGCATCAAGCAAGGAGATACATAGCCCAAGAAATTAGATGCCATTTTTTTTTCCCACAGATAAGTGAAACCACAAAGATTGATGGAATTCAATGTGGTAAAGGTATAGGAAAAAGACATTTTCATACACTACTGTGCTGGTGTCAACTGTCACAACTCTCTGGAAATATGACCAGGTAGAACCTTGGAGGAGAGAATATATACAGACCTCACAAACATACAACACTATATTTTGTGTATGCATATGAACTGTTTCTGCTTTTCGATCTATTAAAAATATCCTTTAAATATACAACATTGGTTGTCTCTGGGTACACGCCCTCAGACAGTCTGGCCAATGAAAGACTCACTGCTTGAAGAAGAACATATGCTCATCCATATACAGAAAATTTCTGAAACAAGTATTACTCTGAAAAATGGCTGGAGGAATGGCAAGGAACCTTCACTCTTCCTATTAAGTTCTTCTATTCTGAGTTTTTTCTTTCTCTCATATCTACATATATATATATATATATATATATACATATATATATATATATAAAACGATAAAAAAATATATATATATATATTATCATGCATCCATCTGACAAATTTTCTGGGTGGAAGAATGGTAACTGGCAGCAGAATCTGGGCTGCAGATGCAGAATCTCACTGTCCCTTTGATGGAAAGGCCTTGACCACCATTCTATTTTCATGAAAGTAACTAATATCCCTTTTTTTTCTCTTCTTTTTTTTTTTCTTGGTGCGGAGGGCAGTACTGGGGTTTGAACTCAAGACCTCATGCTTACTAAGCAAGCACTCTACTACTTAAAAACGAGACATTACTCCTTTTTGCTTTACTTCTCAGGAAAGATCTCATGTTGTTGTTGTTGTTGTTTTCTTATAAGTTGGCCTCAAACTTTCATTTTCCTATCTACTTCCCACATTGCTGTGATTGTAGGGACATACCACCAAGTGGCCCAGCTTACTGACGGAGATGTAGTCTAACTTTCTGTGCAGGCTGGCCTTGAAATCCTCCTAATCTCCATCTCCCAAGTTAGATTCCATCTACTGTGCCCAACCTTCCTTTCATTTCTTTTTTATTTTTATTTTTGTCGGTCGTGGGCTTGAACTCTGGGCCTGAGCTCTGTCCCTCAGCTCTTTAGCTCAAGGCTAGCGCTGTACCACTTGAGCTACAGTGCCACTTCCGGTTTTCTGGTGGTTTATTGGAGATAAGAGTTTCACAGACTTTCCTGCCTGGGCTGGCTTTGAACCTAGATACTCAGATCTTAGCCTCCTGAGTAGCTAGGATTACAGGCATGAGCCACCAGCGCCCAGCATCTCATTTCTTATATAGTCAGACCAACAAGCAGATTTACAGAAATGGATGCAAAAAAATAAATAAATGGAATCAAAATTTAAAAAATAAAAAGTGAAAAAGGGAATGAAATTGATTGTAAGCATGTGTAGGAATGTAACCATGAACTCTCCCCACTGTATAACTAATCTAAGGTAATAAAAAGAAGTGCTAAAAAAAACTTTTTAAATGTTCACCCCGATAAAACAACGTTATTAGCCATTTCTCATTTTGTAATGACCTTTCTCAGTAAATGAGTTTATTTTCAACAAGGTAGCAATGAGGACTAGTAGTAGTTTTTTTTAAATGCTCCCAAAAGTCCTTGTTATGAACTTAAGTGTGTCCTTCCAAAATACAGGTAATTGAATTAACTTCCAATGCTATATTATTTTGAAACAAAGACCTAGAGAGGTAGTTACGATTAAGTAGGGTCAAAGAGATAGTGCCCTAATGCAATAGGACCGGTGTTCTCATAAGAAGAAGACACACCAGTTTATTGTGCTAGTTCTCTCCATCCCAACCCCATACCCAAGCATGAAGGTCAGGGAGGACACAGTGGAAGGGAGCCACCTGTGGCCAGAAAGAGCCTTCTCACCCCCAGAACATGAGACAAACACTTCCAATGTCTCAGCCGCCCATCTCAATTCAGGAGTTGTTTAAAACCCACTTTGGTGTCAACATACAGGACATCCTGTTTATCCAGACACTCATTCAACTCAGACAACCAAGAAAGGTGGTACCTCTTCCTAAATTCCTCAAGTCTTTATCCTCAGATACCAAGCCAAACTCATTTAAAAAACAAAGCAAACAACAAAAATACAAAAGAAGTAAAAAACTTAATCTAAAAGAAAGGGTCAGGGGGCTGGGAAGGTGGCTCAGTGGTAGAGCTCTTGCCTTGCATACCTGAGGCCCTGGGTTCGATTCCTCAGCACCACATAAGCAAAAAGAAAAAAGCCGGAAATGGCGCTGTGGCTCAAGTGGTAGAGCGCTAGCCTTGAGCTGAAGAGCTGAGGGACAGCGCCCAGGCCCAGAGTTCAGGCCCCATGACCGGACCCAAAAAAAAAACAAAAAAAACAAAGGGTCAGAAGGTATTCAGTATTTAATCATAAATTTGACAGACCTTAAGAGTCCTGTTTAGAAAGAGGCCTAGTCAGAACTAACTTGGAGTTTACAGGGGTTTATGAGATCCAGGCAAACCTTCCTCCTCCTCCTCCTGTTCTTCTTCGGTGCTGCTAGGACTCTGCGTGAGTCCCTCTTCTTCATCAATGCTACCTCCTTCCTCCAGGTCACTGTCCTCATCAGAAGGGTCCTCCTCCTCACTGCTTCCAGCTGGGGCTGCTCTTTTGACTGCTCTGCAAGGGCACAAGTTCAGATCTACACATCTGGGCTCACAAAGGGCCTCAACTTCATTATACATGTCAACTTGCAATGAACGGGAGCAGGAAGACAAGAAATGTTTCCTTTAAGAGAAAATTTTGTATTTTTCACTAGTGTTTCAGAACAAGCTGAGCTGCTTACCTCTTCTGAATCTGTATACGTTGGGTAATTTTTGATTCTTTAGTCTCCTCTTCATCTTCATCATCAACATCCTCATCATCATCCTCATCTTCAACATCCCCATCATCACTTTTCTCCCCTTGCAACCCTGCATTCTTTTTAACTGAGTTCTGGTGTTTAGGTACACAGCTCTTCTCTTCATCTATGGAGAAAGATAAAAGTTAGGAATGTTAGGAATTTGTTTAATATCCAACAAGGTCTGTTTGGGTTTGGGTTTTTTGCAGTTTGGTAGATTGAACTCAGGCTCCACACTTGCCAGGCAGGTTCTCTACCACCCGAGCCATGTCTCCTGCCTTTTCTTATTCATTATTCTTAAGGTGGGGCCTTGCTTTATGCACAGGACTATCTGGGTTGAGTTCCTCCTACTCCCACTTCCTGCCACTGGGAATGACAGGGGCATGCCAATGTGCCCAGACATTGTGGTTCCCCCATAGCTAGATTACCAGGCCTGTACCACCACACTCAGCCACTGGTTGAGATGGAGTCTTGAGAACTTTCATACCCAAGAGAGCCTCAAACCAGAATCCTCTGATCTCAACCTTCCCAACAGCTAGGATTCTAAAAAGTGTGAGCCACTGTGCCCTGCTCAAACTAGGTTTGGGTCTTATTTGTTTTTGTGTGTATGTGTGTCAAGCCCCAATCCTGGGGCTTGAACTCAAGGCCTGAATGCTATCCTTGTGGTTGTTTTGTTCAAAGGTAGTACTCTACCACTTGAACCACAGCTCCCTTCACCTTTGCTTGGTACTTACTGCAGATAAAGTCTCAAGGACTTTGCTGCATGATCCTCAGATTTCAGCCACATTGCCACAAGGTTGTTTTAACAGAAGTACTTAATTTTCTGAGTTCATAGTTTATTTGGTTTTTCAGAAGGTCATGAATTTTTTTTTTTTTTTTTTGGTCAGTCATGGTGTGTGAACTCTGGGCCTGGACACGGTCCCTCAGCTCTTCAGCTCAAGGCAAGCACTCTACCACTTCTACCACTTGAGCCACAGTGTCACTTCCAGTTTTCTGGTGGTTAATTGGAGATAAGAGTTTCATGGACTTTCCTGCTCAGGCTGGCTCTGAACCACAATCCTCAGATCTCAGCTTCCTGAGTAGCTACTAGGATTACAGGCATGAGCCACTGGTGCCCGGCTAATGAATTTGTATTACTATATAACCAACCCTCAATATCTGTTGGTTCTAAATCCTGAATTTTTTAAATATTTTACCTGTACTGAAGATGTACAGACTTTTTTCTTGTCATAAACTCCTACACAATTCAATATAACAACTATTTACATAGCGTTACACTGTATTAGGGGTTGTAAGTACAGTAAGCCTGTCAAAACGAATACAGTTTTGACCAAGTGCAGTCAAAAAATGAATTTTAAGCTGGGTGCTGGTGGCTCAACCCTGTAATCCTAGCCACTCAGGAGGCTGAAATGTGAAGGTTCGAAGTCAGCCTGAGTAAGAAAGTCCCTGAGACTCTTATTTCCAATTAACCATGAGAACACCAGAAGTGGGACTTTGGCCCAAAGTGGTAGTATGCTAGTCTTCAGCAGAAAAACTCTGGGACAGCAGTCAAGCCCTATGACCAACAAAAATAACAATAATAATTTTTTAATCAAAAGAAATTTTTAAACTAGCCAGGCGCTGGTGGCTCACGCCTGTAATCCTAGCTACTCAAGAGGCTGAGATTTAAGGATCGCAGTTCAAAGCCAGCCCAGGCAGGAACATCCATGAAACTCCTATCTTAACCACTAGAAAACCGGAAGTGACGCTGTAGCTTAAATGGTAGAGCGCTTGCCTTGAGCTGAAGAGTGCAGAGACAGCGCTCAGGCCCGAGTTCAAGCCCCACAACCGACAAAAGAAAAAAAGAAATTTTGAAACTAAAAACTTCAATTCCTACATGTGCATTATACAGCCCATATGATACAGAAAAGCTCTCAGCCAGCTCCATGTTATTGTCAGTTACATTTAACTCATATAATTGCTGAGAGCTTCATTCCTCTTAATTTTGTAAAAATATATCTCCCAAAAAGCAAGTAGTGCCCCAAAAGCAAGATAAAAGTTATGGTAAGCTTTCAAAACCAAAAAGAGGATGTACTAGGTTTAAGTGATACAGGGAAAAATTTTGATTTGTTGGCACTCTGATTTGTTCCACTTTAGTGGAAATTGGGTGGCCATATGGGGAAAAAAATGAATCAAGCATCCACAGTATTTGAGACAAAGAGCATGAAATATAGTTTTGGTGAATACTATGAATGTGGCAGTAATGTAGCCTACCCCATATGGTTTCCAGGCTATGGATGATCATGGTGACAAAACACCAGCCCAGTTAAGTTCAAGGTCTTGGGTCTAAACTCAGTACCAAAAAAATAAAACGTCAAGTTACGGATGCTCAGACCCATTGTCACTGACTCTGCAACCTGAGCATTCATTCATGGTTTTTCCTCAACAGCAAGCAATCTGGTTTACTGCAATCTATAGATGACTTAAAATACATCCAAGGATTATATAGCGTTCCACGCAAACCTATACCATCTGATAGAAGGGACTTGAGCATTCAGTATTTGATATCTGAGGAGGGTTCTGATACCAATTCCTTGAAGTTAAGATACATAAAAACTGGGGAAGCATTTGTTTTTAACTACCAGGAAGACTTGTATAGATGGAACCAGAAAAGATATGAGGATCTGGGAGAGATCATCACAAAATATGTATATGATCTCCTGGAAAAGGACTGTAATTTGAAAAATATCTCAATTCCAGTAGATACCACAGAAAGTGAACCAAAGAGTTTTATCTTTATGAGTGAGGATGCATTGACAAATCCACAGAAACTGATGGTTTTAATTCTTGGTAGTGGTGTTATCAGGGCAGGCTTATCATAAATGACGATCTGGACAGTGGTGCACAGATACTTTTTATTAAGAGAGCTGTAGATATAAGCGCAATTTTTTTTGTTTTGGGGCATTTTATAGCTGTTTCATTATATGTTACAAATTATTTTATTAAGTGTCTTCAAAAAACATAACCTATAAACATACTCTTCTCATCAAATTGTTATCACTTCTATAGTGACTGTTCTGCATTATTCTGCCATTATCAGAAAGTGTATAAATATCTTAACCCTTAATATCTTTAAAATTAGTATTTCCTATTCTACATTTTGTTTTTTTGTTTTTGTTTTTTTGGGGGGTCCAGTTGTGGTCCCTGAACTCTTGGCCTGGGCGCTGTCCCTCAGTTCTTCAGCTCAAGACTAGTGCTCTACCACTTGAGCCACAGCGCCACTTCCGGCTTTTTTCTTTTTGCTTATGTGGTGCTGAGGAATCGAACCCAAGGCCTCAGGCATGCAAAGCAAGCACTCTACCACTGAGCCACCTTCCCAGCCCCTACATTTTGTTTTTTATTAAATAAAGTACATTTAAAATATCAAATATTTACTCATCAACATTGAAAATACTTCTGACAAAAAGATCATAATTGTTTTTGTAAGCCTTTGCTTAACAAATTTAATGAAGTTGAAATCTAAAGGAGAGCTGCTAGCTTAGACTAGCCTCTTGTTATTTAAAGGAAAATCTGGAAAAAAACTCAAATATTTTTTGTCATTAAAAAAATTGCAATACACAAAAATAAAGTGCTTTAATCATAAAACAAAACAAAAACAAAGAAAATGGGGGAGTGAGGAAAACAAAAGACAAAGCAAAAAACCTTCATCACTCAGATTCCTCTAAACTTTGTCCCATTCATTAGACACCTGAAGGGTAAACTGAATATAAGTAACAAGTGAACAAGTCTGCAACCAGGCTACTACTTGCACACCACAGCCAGCACAATGCTTACTGGGGGCTGCCCTCAACTGCAGTCTCAGTGAGTTATACTCTGTGAGATTCAAAAACTAATTGTTTTCTATTGAGAATGTACTCTCTGTGCTTGAACACTTGCCTAACATGCACAAGGCCCTGGGTTCAATTCCCAGCACCAAAGGGAAGGGAAGAAAAAAACGTGAATTGTTTCCTAAATATAACGCAAGTTTTTAAGTTACTCTGTTCTCAATGGTCCTTACTCCCTATGAAAAGCTGGGAAAAGAGACCCATAGAGTGAACAATGAACTTGAGCTCAAGGTCATCTCTACTCATGTCTGTACCCCAGAAATGGCTCAGACTCAAAAGATCCAATGTTTGAGAATCTGATCACCAGATGGTACAATATGAATTAATACACAGCCTCAAGCTCATAGAGCCCACAGAAATTCAGTGTTTTCTGAATAGTATGATTTGTTCTTTTGGCTACTCTTGTGCCTTTGGCATATCTAAACTAATATTCCCGCTCACAATCAGATTTCCTTATACTTTTAGAATAAAAACAAGAATTTTTCCACTCTCTCACCCTCTACCCAACACTATGACACCTTACCTGGGGCAGAAACAGCCTGGGTATCTTTATACTTGTCTTTCGCCACAGCCCAATCCACAGCCACAGTCCGTCCTGTCAAAAGTGTAGCATGAGAAAAGCTTTCTTCCTTTTAACATCCTTACTTCCTATAAAGGACTTCCTACCCACCAAAGATAGTCATGGAATCAGTGAAAATGAAAAAAGTCAAATTCAGATTGCTAGTGCTTAAATAAGTCCTCGGTAGGGAAATAGAAGCAGAAGGATCATAAGTTTGGGTCCAGCATGTACACCTAGCAAGACTCTGTTTCAAAAGCAAAACAAAAAAGTTCCCCAAAGCTGTACTCTCTTTAATCATTAACCTTACTAACAACTAACAGAACCCGAAGTCACTATGCATTTTTTTCCCCTGCACAGTACCTAATGCTAACAGTCAATTTAATGTAATAGCCCATGGACCCTAAATAGAGGTTGCAACCAAGGTGAAGGAATCTAGATACCAACCTACATTTATGTGATTATTTTCAGAGTATTTGTTGGGAATTTCAAAGCATGCTCACCAAATAAAGGAAGAATCCTAGCATGGATTCTTTTAAGTTAAACCTTAAATCAAGTACTAGAGACACTTCATCAAAACAGCTACTGTATTACTGCTCTGCCGTGAAACTACCTTTGGAGCACACAGAAAAGTGGGTCACTGTGCTAATTCACCCAAGCTCCCAAAATACTGGGTCAATAGTACCAGTATAGAAAACTTACCTTTTATCTCCTTCATGTTCGTGCCTTTGAGGGCTTTTCCTGCTTCTAAGAGGTTTTTGAACTGAACAAAAGCAAAACCACGCATCTTTCCATCTGTGTACAAATAAATTAGAAGCCGGAGGTGAGAGCCAACAGAGCACTAAGAAGGAAATTAGAACAACAAAGCTGGCAAGATGGCTCAGCAGCCAAGAGAGCTAGTCCTCAAAGCAACAGTTTAAAAAAGCCGGGCGCTGGTGGCTCACGCCTGTAATCCTATCTACTCAGGAGGCTGAGATCTGAGGATCGCGGTTCAAAGCCAGCCCGGGCAGGAGAGACCGTGAGACTCCTATCTCCAATAAACCACCAGAAAACCGGAAGTGGCGCTGTAGCTCAAGTGGTAGAGCGCTCGCCTTGAGCTGAAGAGCTGAGGGACATCGCCCAGGCCCAGAGTTCAAGCCCCACAACCGACAAAAAAAAAAAAAAGCAACAGTTTATACTCTCGTGTTGGGTAAACTCTGATTCAGACTTGTAGAGAGCCATGAGTCAATGCCATCAGTAACTAAACTTCTAATACTAAGTCTAATTCTAAGTCTTATCTAACTAAAAATACTATCCAGAGAATAGTGTTATTATTTAGGTCTTTTTCTCCCTTCAAGCACTGTGTCAGATACCCATAAACATATCTTCATGGGCTCAAAAAAGCATGCCATGAAGCCTGCATTTGTAATTCAAGGGTCATTTGGAAAAAGACATGTTTAAGCCACATGCCAGTGGCTCATGTCTGTAATCCTAGCTACTCAGAAAGCTGAGATCTGAGGATCACAGTTCAAAATCAGCCAGGTCAGGAAAGGTCATGAAATTCTTTTTTTTTTGGTCATGGGTCTTGAACTCTGGGCCTGGGCGCTGTCCCTCAGCTCTTCAGCTCAAGGCTAGCCACAGTGCCACTTCGGCTTTTTCTGCTTATGTGGTACTGAGGAATCGAGCCCAGGGCCTCGTGCGTGCAAGGCAAGAACTCTACCACTGAGCCACCTTCCCAGCCCCTCGTGAGATTCTTATCTCCAATTAACCCCAGAAAACCAGAAGTGGCGCTGTAGCTCAAATGGTAGAACAGCAGCCTTGAGCTGAAGAGCTGAGGGACAGCTCCCAGGCTGAGTTCAAGCCCTATGACTGACCAAAAAAAAAAAGGCATGTTAAGTGATATTAATGCAATACACACTAAATAAAGGCAATCTAGTACCTGGCTTCCTTGGGATATTTACTTCCAGCACAGCACCAAATTGAGCAAATACAGTTTTCAAGTCATCTTCTGAACACTGGAGCCAAAAAATGAAGGAAGATGAGAAATATTATCACATCAAGTCTGAAATATCAACTACTAATTCATCATTTTTTTATTCCTTTCTTACTTTCAAGATTAATATATCAAAGAGCTGTGCGTGAATAGACAACATCTTATTTGTATCTAAGAGGCCAAAAAAGACACCAGGTGCAAGAGAGCTATTTTCTGTACCCCACTTTCTCAGAAGCAATTTCTCCAATTTGAAGGAATCATCTCAGTGTCGTTAATAATTTTTTTTTTTTTTGGTCCGTCATGGGGCTTGAACTCTGGGCCTGGGCACTATCCCTCAGTTCTTCAGCTCAAGGCTAGTGCTCTACCACTTAAACCACAGTGCCACTTCTGGTTTTCTGGTGGTTAGTTGGAGATAAGAGTCTCACAGACTTTCCTGCCTGGGCTGGCAATGAACCGCGATCCTCAGGTCTCAGCCTCCTGACTAGCTAGAATTACAGGCATAAGCCACTGGCACCTGGCTTTAATAAATTCTTATGGTCCCATATTTTCAACGTGCTAAGGCTCATTCCCAGGAGGGATAAAGCCAGTAAACACCATCATAGTGAGATGTTCCACCAATGAGCATGCCTTAGCACCAATGGCCTTCCTAACATGATGTTGCTTCTCTGTCACTTACCTTAAAGCTCAAGTTCCGAATAATTAACCGGGCTTTCTTATCTGCCATTTTGGCTTTCGTAGGCTTTGGCTCCTTCTTTGGGGACTCCGAATTTTCTAAAAAGAGAGGCTTATCAAAAGTCTATGCACCCATTGATATCACAGTAAAATGTTACAAGAAACAACAGCAGTAACACAGCAATAAACATTCACTCTCCAGGAACAGATTTTTCAAGACTAAGATGGAGACTGATTAAAATGAGGGACAAAACATACCAGATGATTTTGGATATTGAAAAGGAACTAAGAGCTCACAGTTCTCAAAGTTACTTTCATAGTGCTCTTCCTCACTCCCAGGAAGAAACTCACCATTTTTCCTCTTTTCCTTGGGCTTATTCCTCAGTTTTTTCTTGGCCACGGTCACATTGATCTTGCATCCTTCAAAGGTAGTAATTTCCTTGAGGGCCCTTTGAACATCTTCCAGCATAGAGAAAGTGACATAGCCAAAGCCTCGACAAGTCTTACTCCCTGGAACAAGGCAAGAAGAAAAGGAGTGAGTAGGGATGGAAAGGACAGAGAATCATAGCCAAGAGAACAAAATCTGTACATCTACAAAGCCTAAACTAGCAGATATCCTACACTAAGCCATGCTGCAATCAGCAAGACTCAGGAGGAAAAGAAACAAAGCTGTCGCAGCCTCTTTTCTATCTTGCCTAGAAAGCATTAGGCTAATTTTGGGGTTTGTTAGCTCTTCTTTTTTCCCCTGTCCTGATAATCCAAAGAATATGGAAGCTATATGCTATATATTAGGCACCCTCAAAGAAGACCTCAACATCCAACAGAATGAAAGATCACCAAAGAAGAAAAGAAAGTACAGTGAACTCTGAAAATTCAAATATAATAACAGTCTCTCTTTAGAACAGTTCAGCAATAAATGCCTTAGGTCCTGGCAAAAGAGCCTCAAACAATAAACACTGTTTTTGGAACCTACTGTAGACTTTACCATTATTACTAATACCTTAGCTATTCTCCATTAAAAGGCTTCAAAGTCACTGGGTACTGGTGGCTCTCAGTCGGCTAGGATCTCAGGATTGCAGTTTGAAGCCAGCCAGAGCAGGAAAGGCTGTGAAATTCTTTTTTTTTTTTTTTTTTGGGGGGGTCCAGTCGTGGGGCCTGAACTCTGGGCCTGGACGCTGTCCCTCAGCTCTTCAGCTCAAGGCTAGCGTTCTACTACTTGAGCCACAGCGCCACTTCCAGCTTTTTTCTTTTTGCTTATGTGGTGCTGAGGAATCGAACCCAGGGCCTCAGGCATGCAAGGCAAGCGCTCTACCACTGAGCCACCTTCCCAGCCCCAAGTCTGTGAAATTCTTATCTCCACTAAACCACCAAAAACACAAACAACAACAAAAAATGAAGCAGAAGTGTAGCTCAAGTGTGAGAGCAATAGTCTTGAGCAAAAAAGCTCAGGGACAGCACCCAAGGCCCCAAGTTCAAGCCCCAGGATTGGCACTATTTTTTTTAAATAATTCTCCAGGGCTGGGAATATGGCTTAGTGGGAGAGTGCTTGCCTAGCATGCATGAAGACCTGAGTTTGATTCCTCAGAACCCACATACACAGAAAAAGCTGGAAGTGGTACTGTAGCTCAAGTGGTGGGGTGCTAGCCTTGAGCAAAAGAAGCTCAGGGACAATACTCAGATCCTGAGTTGAAGCCCCAGGACTGGCAAAAAAAGAAAACCTCTCCAATTCAGTGTCAATCTCTAACCCATTTTATCTCTCTAACCCATTTTACCTACAGAACACTTCAAGGTAGGTGAAATGATACCATCCCTTTGTTCCAAAGAATAATTCAAGACAAGGGAAGTAAAGGAACTTCTCACTGGATGTTAGCAGCTGAATTAATTACTGCTCTCTAGTGCTCTGGATCTTATCACTTAATTCTCTTCCCTAGTCATTTCCCTCTGAGAACCCTGGCCTCCCTGCTACTCTTCTCTTCCCATGTAATAGGCACACTCCCACTCAGTATCCTCCAGCTTGCTGCTTCCTCCATTTGGACTGCTCTTCTCCCTGAAAGGGAAGTTTTCTCTCTCTCATCCCAGTCAGGCCCAGGCTACCCTCACACACACATACACTACACAGCTATTTCCTATCCTTCTTCTCTTATGTTTCAGATCCTTACCATTTACAACCTTTATTGCTAATCTTTGTTTACTGGCTGTCTTCCTCCACCACAAAAAAAAAAAAAATGAAGTATCACGATTTATTTGTGTTCTGCACTGCTACAGCCTGAACTCTACACCCTGAGAAGAGTTAACAGTGTAGTGGAACACACCTATTCAGCATGTTGAACGGATAAATGAGTATCATACTGAGAGTTCAAGTCAGATGACCAAATTCTGGATCCACTACTTAACTAGATGTACAAACTCAAAAGTTACTAAATATCCTTAAGGTCCGGATTCTTGTATGTAAAACAAGTTCAAGAATCTGCACGAGGAACTGTTGCAAAAATTAAGTGAGACAACCTGCAGTACGATTGCTGTGAAGATTAAATGAGACAACCCGCAGTAAGATTGTTGCGAAAACGAAATGAGACAACCCGCAGTAAGACTGTTGCAAAAATTAAATGAGACAGCCAGGCACCGGAGAATCACACCTGCAACTCTGTCTAACTCAGGAGGCTGGGATCGGAGGATCGCGGTTCAAAGCCAGCCGGACAAGAAAGTCATTGGGACTCCAATTAATCACGAAGTCGGAAGTGGCGCTGTGGCTCAAGAGGTAGAGCACTGGCCTTGAGCAAAAGGAGCTCAGGGGCAGCACCCAAGCCCCAGAGTTCAAGCCCCACCACCGTCCAAAGTAAATAAATACTAAATAAGTACTAAGCAAGCCTGTGTCAAACTCAACCGACAGTCTAACCAGTACTTCATGAAAAGCTATTTCATCATGCCTAAATAAGATCGTGCAAGGGAAGGCGAACGGTAAAAGGAAAGCGAAGAGACACCCAAGATGGGCCTGTCTAAAGCAGAATCAGCTTCAGAGAAGAAACTCATTTCCCAGTCCCTCCTCCTGGGGGCGAGTAAGGAGAGAGTCGCTCGGGAAGGGAGGGAAGGGAGGTCGCCCCTCCCCACGCGGGACCCGGCCTCCACCCGCCCTACCTTTCTCTGTCACCACGAAGCACTGCTTCACCGGCCCCACCTGGCTAAACAGCTCTTCCAGCTGCTCGCTGCGGGCCGAGGGCGGGAGCCGGCCCACAAACAGAGTCAGGCCGGCCATGAGGGCCGGGAGGCTGAGGCGGGCAGCGAGACCAGAGGCGGGCGCACGCGAGGAGAGGGAAGCGCTTCAGCGGTGTCACCACGCCAAACTGCCGGGTGACTCCGGAAGTGCTCGTTACTCAAACAAGTCCGGAGGAAAACTTGGTAGGGAGCGGAAAGAACATTCCGGGGGGGGGGGGGAGAGATATATAACTGGGCGGGCGTAGCTACAGGCTCCACCCAGTCCCTACAGGCTCCTCCCCCCCTCAGGATCACACCTCTTCCACTTGATGTCCTCCCTTCCTCTCTCCTTCCTTCCCTCCCTCCCTTTCTCCCTTTTTCTCTCCCTCCCTCGCTGTCTCTTCTCCCTCCCTCTCCTCCACTACTCTCCCCCCTCCTCCCTTCCCCTCTCCTTTCTTTTCTCTCTCTTCCCCCCACTCTCTCGCATTTCCTCCTCTTCCACCTTCTCTCTGGTCTCTTTCATTCCCTCCTTCACCCTTCCCTTCCCCTTCCTCTCTATCTCTCTGTTGAGCCTCACCTCTAGATGCTTTTTTTCTTCCATTTTCAGACAGCTGGCTAGCTTCTACTTCCATCCTTTAACCTAAGCCTCTTCCCTCATAGCTGGGATTACAGACACATTACCACCAATGGCTTTTGCTTGTTGAGATGAGATCTTGCTAAATTTTTGCCATAGCTGAACCACCATATTTCTGATCTCATCCTCCAGAGTAGCTGGGTTCTGATCTCATCCTCCAGAATAGCTGGGTTCTGATCTCATCCTCCAGAATAGCTGGGATTGCAAGTGTGCACAACCACACCTGGCCCCAATTTCACCTCCAGGACATCAGCCCAAATTCACCATGACAGGAAGAAGTCATTTTTCCCTAGGCTTTACTCAAGAGCTGTCATAAAATTGATGTTCAATAAATATTTTCTGAAGTGTCTCCACAGATTCCCAGGTTGTATGCTGAAACCACGGAATACCATGTCATAGACACAGGTATATAATACACATCATCTGAAAAATCCTCATGTCCTCAGAGAATTAAAAAACTACTTATGTATACACAAATGACACATAATTATTCTTTCAATAAATACTTACTGAGCTCCTATTATATACTAAACAGTGATATAAATGGTGAGCTAAAAAGGAAAAAACAGAGTCCCTCCCTTCATATTAGAATACAATCTAATAAAGAGACAGAGGCTCACATCTGTAATCCTAGCTACTCAGGTGACATAGCTGTAAGGACCGAGATTTGAAGCCAGCTGGAGCAGAAAAGTCTGAGAAACTTTAGCTGGCAAAACATCAGATTGGAGGCATGACTCAGTAGTAGAGCACTTGGGAGCAAGCTGAGCAAGAGCAGGAGGCCCTCAAACCTCATTAGCAGCACATGTGCATACATATACACACACCTCAAAAATAGACATCTCCTCTGCGATCACCAGAACATCGCAAAGCCAACAGCACACAGCTTATACACAAAGACAGACCTAAAGCCCAGCTCCACCAAAACACAGATCTTTCCCCAGGATTGCTTATCAGGCAGACACCTAACAGAGAGGTCTCCCTGGGCAGGAGGAGATTTGGGTGCTCCTGGGGTTCTGGAATACAGTGTTGCTACCCATGAGACTTAGGAACTGATAAACATGCAAGAATGTTACACTGTAGAATACCTGGCTCAAAAAGTACCTCAAGGAGGGGCTGGGAAGGTGGCTCAGTGGTAGAGCGCTTGCCTTACATGCCTGAGGCCCTGGGTTCGATTCCCAGCACCACATAAGTAAAAAGAAAAAAGCTGGAACTGGTACTGTGGCTCAAGTGGTAGAGCGCTAGCCTTGAGCTAAAGAGCTGAGGGACAGCGCCCAGGCCCAGAGTTCAGGCCCCATGACGGGGCCAAAAAACAAACAAAACAAAAAGTACCTCAAGGAGTTTTTAAGTCGTTGCTTTTTTTTTTTTTTTGCCAGTTCTGGGGCTTGAATTCAGGGCCTGGGTGCTGTCCCTAAATGTATTTTATCCCTAAACTTGTAGTGCTCTATCACTTGAACCACAGCTCTACTTTCAGCTTTTTGGGGGTAGTGAATTGGAGATAAGAGTCTCACTGCCTGGCCTGGCCTTGAACAATGATCAGATGTCAGCCTCCTGATTACAGGATTATGGGTATGAGCCATTGGCACCCAGCTTAAAACATTACTTCTTTCTTTTTCTTTTTCCTCCTCCTCCTCCTCTTCCTCCTCCTCCTCCTCTTCATCCTCCTCCTTCTCCTCCCCCCCCCCACCTCTTCCTCCTTTTTCTTTTGTTGATCATAGGACTTCAACTTAGGACCCGGGTGCTGTCCCTGAGCTTTTCTTTTTTTTTTAATTTTATTTTATTTTATTTGTGAACATACTGTACAGAGGGGTTACAATTGCATGGGCAGGTTAATGCGTACATTTCTTACCAAGCATTGCAGCCTCCTCCTTTGTTTACCCTTCCCATCCCTTCCCAGCCTCCCCCCGTCCCTGAGCTTTTCTGCTCAAGGCTACTGCTCTATCACTTTGAGCCGTAGCTCTACTTCTTGTTTTCTGGTGGTTAATCAGAACCAAGAGTCTCACAGACATTTCTGCCTGAGCTGGCTTTGAATCGTAATGCCCATATTTCAGCCTTTTGAGTAGCTAGGATTACAGGCATGAGCCACCAGCACCCAGCTTAAATCATTACTTTTTTTTGTTGGTTGTGGGGCTTAAACTCTGGGTTTGGGTGCTGTCCCTGCACTCTTCAGCTCAAGGCAAGTGCTCTACCACTTGAGCCACAGCACCGCTTCCAGTTTTCTAGTGGTTTATTGGAGATAAGAGTCTCACAGATTTTGCTGTCCAGGCTGGCTTTAAACCGTGATCCTCAGATGTCAGCCTCCTGGGTAGTTAGGATTACAGTGCGAGCCACTGGTGCCTGGCCAAATCATTACTTTTAAATGACAGCAGCATGGTAGTTGGAAAGTGCAAAAGGCATGAGAAGTTTCCCTTTCTCCTCAAGCCATATTCACTTTCAATACATTTGTGATGAATAATCGTTAGTGATGGGAGAGAAGAAGGATGTAACACATCCAATTTATGAAGCCCTAGCCAGCTCCAAGTAAGTAATATGTGCTTCCAAAAAAGTTATTTTTAAACAGATAACTTATGAGATAAAACATTAGAATACAAAACAGGTTGTTGAGACTACTAAGTTAATTCATCCTGGGTAAAGATACACATATAGACAAAAGGAGTAAGTTGGACCATTTGAACAAAGTTAGTTTAGGATTCCATATTCTTCCTTCTTTTTCCTCTTCCCCTCCCACACCCCACCACCCTTCACCCTCTCCTCTGCCCCCAGCATCATCTTAGGTATCAAAATGTCATGCCCAGAGACTACATTTTAAATCTCAGTCCTCATCTGTTAAGAGGGCTTCCCAGAACTGGCTGCAGTATGTACAGGGAAAAGAACCTAGAGAAAATTTTCCCAATACCTATCTGCAACACTCCGTACAGATGCTGTCTTTAAAATGCTAGACCAAAAAAAAAAAAAAAAGCTAGACCATAAAGCTGAACTATGTCCCTGTGCCCATCAGGGGGCAGCAGCTACCCACAGTGCAGGGTTCTGTGCCTCTCTAGGAAGACAACAGGACACTGGCCCCCTGTCCAATCTCCCCTCATTCAGACCTAGGTCCCATCTATTTGCCAACCCACTCTCTTCTATCCATTCATACAAGAAAAGTACATGATTTTTCAATCAAGAATATTTGCTCATCCATCTCCCCAGGACACATGCAGCGTTCTTTATTAAATAGCAGGAGTCATGGAACCTGCTACGCGGCTTCCAAGGGAAATAATCCGCCAGCCTGCCCCTCATCCATCACTGGAAACCTGGAAAGGAAGTAAAAGGGTCCTGGAATGTTCTCAGCCTCTCCCAGAAGGAAGGCCTTCTGGCTCCACTATTCCCTGCAAACCAAATCAAACCTCCCATAATACTGTTCTCATTCTTCCCGTTTCTCATAACTGGAATTAATTACTGTACTATTTTAATTATTTCTGTGATTTGTTGTTTGGTGTTTGCCTTTTCCCAAAGGACTTGTGACTTCACAAATCAGAGCTAGTATACTTATTGTCCAACTCTATCCCTAGCACTAGCGCATGGTAGAATGCAATAAATGTGTGTGTGTGTGTGTGCGCGCGCGCGCGCACACACACACGCCTGTACTGGAGCTTGAACTCAGGGTCTGGTGCTGTTCTTTAGCTTTTTTTTTTGTTCAAGGCTAACACTCTTCCACTTGAGCCATAGCTTCACTTCCAGCTTTTTTGCTGGTTAATTGGAGATAAGAATCTCATGGACTTTCCTTCGCTGGGCTGGCTTCAAACTGCAGTCCTCTACTTTGGACAAAAGATAGGGGAAGATCTAACCAGTATCTTGGCCTCTTTGTAGACTCAAAGGCCTGAGATAATTCTTTTTTTTTTTTTTTTGGTCGGTTGTGGGGCCTGAACTCTGGGCCCAGGTGCTGTCCCTCAGCTCTTCAGCTCAAGGCTAGCGCTCTACCACTTGAACCACAGCACCACTTTCTGCTTTTTCTGCTTATGTGGTGCTGAGGAATGGAACCCAGGGCTTCATGCATGCAAGGCAAGCGCTCTACCACTGAGCCACCTTCCCAGCCCTGAGGCAATTCTTACTAAGAAAAATCAGCGAAGTGTTGAGATTGATGAACAGCAGTCTGTATTCCCCTGGCCTCATCCTTCCTCACCAGCCCCATTCAGAATATTCAGAGAAAACAAAAGTATGCATTAAAGAGAGTCATACCAGATGGGGGTGCTTGGGACTTAGGCTGCTCTGTTGGGTGAGGTTGTGCATGAATTCAAGAACCCTGATGGAGGAGGGCGGGGAGAGCAAGCAGCTGTCCAGGGTTAGAGTGAAGAAGAGAGGACCGGGAAGGCTAGGTGTGAGCAGAGCCAGGTGTGAGGCAGATGGAAGGAAAGTGGAAAGAAAGGGAACAATTGCTCAAATCTGCAAACACACTCCTTACGTGACACAATACAGCGCTGGTGCTGGGCCTACAACAGCCACTAGGACACCAGTGAGAAATGTCTGTAATTAGGAGGCTGGCAGTTCTCTGGGCCTCAGCCCAGAGTGACGATGCAGCAAGAATTTCTGAGCCATGCTGAGCCAGGTAATGGAGAAAACACAGACAAAAACATGCCAGGCCCATCTTTCAGCCCTGCCTGCACCACTGCCTCCCATTTCTCTTCCCCACTAGGACTCTTACTCTCTCCTACACATGGCTGGCTCCCCTCCTCCCTCCAAGGTCTGAGGTCCTGGATGGATGCTCCTCTCAAACAAGACAAAGCTTCATCTGGAAGGAGAGCTGTGCTTGAAATCTCCTATTAGTGCATCTGACCTGGCCTGGCCAATGGCCCAGCCCCTCTGGGGTTCCCCGCCTGCTTTGCTCTTGGTGCCTAGCCTCTCTTCTCCAATTCCCACCAGCTATGTCTAGAATTGGAAGGAAAAACCACTTGGGTTCCTGTTTTTCCACTTTGAGTTTAATGTACATGCCCCTGCAAATCTCCTTGTGATATGCAGGATATCTGCCAAAACACTGTCAGATTTTCATTTTCAAACCTAATCCAAGACCCTGCTTTTTGTGCCATTCTGAAGCACTGTGTTGAAGCTGAATGACCAATGTGTGTTATATAGAGCTCCAAGTCCAATGCAGCAGGAAAGGCAGGGATACCAGATGCCTGTTAATGGGATGTGATAGTGTCTAGGCTGGAGCTGGGGGCGGGGGGAGGAGAGTGAAAAGTGAAGGCTTTCTCCAGTGAAGCACCACATCCATAGCAGATGACAGCTCTGCAAGGAAGGGGGCAGTGGTGGTAGTTTTGAGTCTAATCTTGAAAAGACCCTATTGATGGTTGAAGATAGGTTTCCTTTTTGTGGATCCCAAACTATAGCAATATGACAGAGGTGTCATAGCCAGTTTCTAGCCAGCTGTTTTCCACAATCTGCCACCAGGCTCCTAGGAATGCTCCCAAGGACTAAAGAATTCTGCCACACCTCTCAGGACTGTGTTCCACCCCTATGAAAAGCCATTTCTGGGGAGTCAGATAGGTCTTCCCCGACCCTTTCCAGAAACCTCCCTCATCCCAGCCACAGGGCACACAAAACTCCCTGGTCTTATGTGAAGGTCCCTGGGGTCTGAGGTAAACCCACCCCATTCCCACTTCTGATGCACCCACTGCTGTGGTGATCCCAGTTCAGTTTTCCCAGGAAGGCCAGCACATTCTCCTCTGAAAAATATTTTATTGATAAATTAACTCTGAAAGCGTTCGCCTCCCACCCAAATGTTGTAAGGTCTCTTGAATGAGTCATAGACCCTTCTGTGGGGAAAGGATCCATGGAGGTCAGGGAATCTCTGCACGGTGGAGGGTGGGATTTCCTGGGCATGGCAGAGGTGGGTATGGGGCTGAGGCAGGGCCTGGGGTGTTCTGAAGAGAGCCCTCTGACTCAGCACCAGAATAGGGAGTGGTGGTCAGAAGTGCAGCACCGTGGAGCTTTATTGCTGGTGAAGGCCAAGGAAAGTGGGACACCCCCCCTGCCAGCCTGAAATTGCAGCTGAGGGCACCAGTGTCCAGGGCTCCAGAGAAGGTGGCACTGATTCCCAATCCACAGAACCTGGCTGCTGACCCACCCACTCACCCAAGTGTGGCCCCTGGATGGGGAAGGAAGTGGGGAGAGGTATCTGAGCCAGACAGAATTGGGCAAGGGTTACAGTGTGCAGGTCTTGGGCAGAGTAGGCGCCAGAAAGGGGTGAATGGCAGGCGGCAAGTTGGCCACCTCTTCACAGGTCTATAGTGTCGCTGCCCATGCTCAGCTCGTCAATCTGTCGGCAGGCATCCAGGAATTGCTCCTGCAGCAAAGCCTCCTGGGCCTGTAACTCCGCAGCAGGCTCCGGGGAGTCGCTGGAAGGTGGGGACAGAGCCTGGTAGGATCCGGAGGCCGGGAGGCTAGGGCTGCTTCCGGAGGGTCGCGGAGGACTGAGGATGCAGACAAGTGGACAGCGCGGGGGTCTGTCTGGGCTGGAGCAGAGCAACATGGACGAACTGTCCCTTGAAAGTCCGCAAAGCGAGCCCGATGAGGGGCTGCTGCCTGCCGGCCAGGCCCCAGGAGAAGGAAGCTCCGGGGGCGCTGGAGATCCGGGGGCCTCCTCCGACCTCCCACTGGGCCTAATCCCTGTCTGGGTCCCCAGCGAGATGGTGCGGTAGAGACCGAGCCCAGGCAGGGCTTCGCCGAAGGCAGGACCCTGGAAAAGGCCGGGCGCCAGCAGCGACTCGCTGCACAGGGCCTCCTCGATGCTGCGCCGTAGATTGATGGGAGAGGGCGGGCGGAAGTCCACCGTGCAATCGCTGCAGGGGGACGAGGCCGAGGACGGGGCGGGATTGGCCGCGGTGCCTTCGCAGCCTCGGCAGCCGCCGCCCTGCAGCAGGAGGTCAGGGCCTGGCCCTGCCAGGGCGCACAGCTGCAGCAGCTCCGCGTCGCCACGTGCAATGGCGCTCCCCAGCGGCTCCTTGTCCCGAGGCCCGGCGACCCAGCCTCCCGGCAGCAGCGGCGCTGCATGGCCCGGGGACAAGCGGAAAAGCTTGGCCCAGCAGCGCGGCGGCACGCGGGGACTGCAGAGCGCGGGGTAGAGACCCAGCAGTGCCAACGGGAGCGCGACCCCCACCTCGCCCAGGCGCAGACCTAGCTGGAAGGCCCACCAGGGCCAGGGCCCCTCCAGGCCGGGTTGGCCTCCGTAGCCCAGGGCATGCAGCACCTCGTAGCCCTGCAGGGCTCCGCTCAGCAGCCCGAAGGTGCCAGCCACCGGGGCCGTGCGCGCCGCGCGCCGCCAGGACTCCCGAGGGGCGAAAGGGCTGCGCGCCTGCGGGACAGGGGTAGCGCCCTTGAACCCGGATCCTCCCAGGGGCGCTCCAGCCCGCCGCCGCCGCCCTCCCCAACAAGAGAGCGCCAACAGGAGCCCAGAAAGCAGGACGGCGAGGAAGGCGTGCAGCCCGCGCGAGGCCAGCCTCAGGGGCCGCAGTGGGTGGTGAGCAGCGCTCCCCAGAGCGGCCGCGGCCGCCAGCCCCAGCCCCAGGAGCAGCAGCGCCGCCAAGCCAGCGGGGCACCGGGGCGGGCGCGGCCGGGCCAGCAGCAGGCAAGCCAGCCCCAAGCCAGCAGCCAGGCAGGGCAGTGGCAGGTCCTGCAGCAGCAGCCAGGCGAGCACCGGCAGCCGATCGCGGTGCCCGTACGCGTCGTAGAAGAGCGGGAAGGCCCGCGTGGTCCCAGCCGAGAGCAGCAGCAGGTCCAGCAGCGCCAGGCAGGGGGCGCCAGGTGGGCAGCGCCAAGGCAAGAGGGCTAAAGCCAGCAGCGCCAGCAGGGCCACTAGACCGAAGAGCGCACCTGCCCCGTACACGTGGGCCTCCCAGGCCAGCCCCCATCGTGCCCTGGCCTCTGCCCAGTCGGCCTCCAGGGTTAAAAAGAAGAGCGGCACCGGCGAGGCTGGAGACTGCTCCTCGAGGCCGGGCATGTCTCCGTGTCCACAGGGCTCTGGCTCACACTTGGGCTGCTCTGAAGGGTTTCCCAGGCTGGCAGGAGAGGGGTCATCTGAGTCAGAGGTGGAGATAGTGGGGTCTGTGGGGAAAACAACATTTGGCTGAATCGATTGCACAGCCCTGTCTCCTCCCCCTCCACCCCCCCCCTCAGTAGTCTGAAAGAATGATCGAATGACTGAGTGTCCATCAGAACATCTAGAAGGCATTCGGAACCTATTTGTCCTACACAGGAGACTCACAGACATGTTGGCATTTCACTTTCCCCTGCCCCATTCCAACCTCTCAGGCTGAAGCTTCAGTTCTTGCCTGTATACCCATCCTTTGCTCATTTCCCTCCCTCTCTTTGTGTTTCTACTGAAAAGGAGTTTTCTTCAGAAGTCCAGAACTGTACAATTGGAATTTTTTTTTAAATGGCTGGCTCCTTCCAGTCCAGTCCTCACACCAGAAAGAGTTTTATGAAAACAGGATTTTTGTTTTCTTTGCTCACATCTCAATCTCTATGACTAAATGATTTGTGGCATCCAGTTGGCACTGAGCAGATAGCCATTGAGTAAATGAAGATTCTGAGGCCCTGCAGAGAGGCAAAGAGACCTGTACAAGGCCACAAATGGGCAATGTGTAACGAGAATCCAGATCTGAGCACCAATCTGAACATCTTTCCAAATCCTCCTCTTAATACTAGTCTGCTTAATTTACATTCCTGGTGCCTAACTTTCCACCTTGGCACTAGGAGATGCTTCTCCTGCCCTTTTTTTTTAACAGCTCCCCAATTTGTTCCTGTCTCAAGTAACATGCATACACACCCACAGAGTCAGAGGAGAGAGGTAAGACCTCCTGTCTCCAGGACTCTAGAACACCATTCCTTCTTGCCCATTGCCATTTCTATCAGCTACACCTCTATTTTCAGCCAGTGTGTGGCTGTGGACTCCATGCTGACTCATCCACACAGCCATTGCTCGAAGGCTCTTGTTATACATGCCTCTTGGGTTCTATCCCCATTTTACAGAAAGTGACATTGAGATGGACTCGGACTCCTGTGAGTCCCAGCGGGTGTCTTTGAACTCTTGGAAAGGAACAATTAGGGAATCACAGTAGGATGAAACCCTCGGGTGTGCTGGGGTTTGCTAACTCAGGTCCTTGTTCCATTCTGTGCTCCAACATCTCTCTACATCCCTTGGGGAAAGGGGGACTCAACTAAGCTGGGTGGGTGATTCTGGTCTCATGGAACAAGAGAGGAACCGCTTGGAGTTAGACTCGGGGATTCTCCCCAGAGTCAGGCAGAAGAGAAGATTCTGGAAACTACTTTCTCCCTACCCCCATCTCTCAGGCTCATCAGAACTGCAGCTGCAGGCCAAGATGGAGGAAGAAAGGGTGGTGGTGAAGGGCAGGTTCAGCCTTGTGGGAGTGGAGAAAAGGACAGAAGACAGATGTGGAATGAATTCTCATACTCTTGTCCCAACTGCCTGGCCATCCTCCAGATGGGCAGTACTAAAAGGCACAGGAGCAACTCTTCCCCCCTCCCAGAAAGCAGCAGCTCACACTTAGGAACAGACAAAATACAGCAGCTCTGAGAACAAGGTAATGAAATGGGGGGCATAAGTCAACTCTAGGCTGGGGCGGGAGGAGGAGAAGAAGATGGAATTGGAACAGCCAGAAAATTAAATATATACAGCTCTCTGCCAACTGCAAATGGCAGCATGCACCCTGCTTCCCATTCCTTCTCATTCCTCAAATCCAAACTGTGTAAGAATGCCTGCTGCAAAAGACAGTTATGAGGATAAATGAGATGATGTGTGTGAAACTCTACAGTGCCTGGTATGGAGAAAAAAATCATTCAGTATATGATTGTGACTGGCATCATTATTTTTGGCTAATGTTTATCATGGATTAATCATGAGCTTGTGTTTGTGTGTGACCACTTCCAGCCTCAAACTACTTCTTGATTTAACTAACTGAAGGCTGTAGTATAGATTAAAAGTCTTTGGCACATCCTAAACATGTCTAGAAAGACAACCATCTGTCAAATGAGTGAGCATCCACATATTGACTGGGTTATAAACTCTGTTTGAAGACCACCATGTTGATGGCCTAACCACCCCTGAGCACTGACAGCAGCCATCAGTTAAATGAGAAACCATTCAGCTGGAAACTGGGTGGTGATCAGGGAGGGCAGCAGTCTGGCATGGGTAGGATCACATACATCCACTCTGCCACTTCTCATCCTCTGTGTCCCACTGATGCCCTGGTCTAACCCACTGCTTCTGCAAAATGCTTTGACCTTTGTGAGCTCTGCAGAGGCATGGAGGCTCACAGCCTGGCCCAGATCGCTACTTCACAACTCCCCACCCTCCTTGCTCTCTACGTAAATGAGTACAGCTCTGTGAGGTCAGCTTCAGTATACCCTCTTCCAACATCACTGCTCGCCTGTGGGCCCCAAGAAACCTATCTGTCATCTCCATTCCCAAGTGCTATGACAACTACAACAAATTGCAACAATTGTAAGAATCCAGAAGGGGAATAAAACCAGAAAATAGGCTAAGTACTAGGGCAGCTCAAGTGTCAGAAGAGTTTGGAATTAGAACTTCTTCCAAGGGTCCTAGATACCCAGATCAACACACACACACAAACACACACACACACACACACACACACACACACATGCCAGGTATGGGTAGAAACAGATGAGAGAAAGCCTAACGTCTGCCTTCAAAGAATCCCTTTGATATGATCCCTGCTTTCCCCATTTACAGCTTCCTTCCCCAGAAGAGCTGTGTGTTTTGCTCAGAAGATAGTGATGTTCTCATCCTGCCTTCCCAGGATCCCTCTCCTAGACAAGCCACTCCTCCAGAGAGGTCCCACTCTGGCCCTGTGGCCCCTCTTGACCTCTAGGATGCTAGAGGAGATGGGATGTCAATGTGAGTAATTGGTAAGGCAGGAGCTGGCTGGGGAGGGGCAGGGGGAGGAACCAGCTGGTTCATGGAAAAGCCAGACCTGATTATCCACCAGCTGCCCAGATCAAAGAGCTCTGGAATTGAATCTCCATTCTAGATTCTGGAAGCTGTAGCCTGGTTAGTGGCCTGACGCCACCCCTCTCCCAACCCCCACTTCCAAGACTGTGGAGAACTGATATTCTTTGCAGCAGTGACACCCAAAATATTTAACAACTGAATGTCCTAGGTGCTGGCTAATGAGAACAGAACAGAGTCCTGCCTGCCAGCTTTGTCAAGGGGTGGGGGTGGGGTCACTGCAGGGCACTGAGGGTAGGTACTAAGTGCTTATCAACCAGCGTCTTGATATATTCCAGCCTGCTATAATTGCTGGGGTATGGCTAGGCTGCATACAACCTCTACCCTGGAGAAAGGGACCCTGCTCAAGGAATCCAAGGTGTGAATAACACCTAGCTTAGAATCCAAGGTGAATAACACCTAGCTTAGAAAACTCCTAGAGGAGACTCAAAGAGACTGTCTTTAGTCCCTAACTGCATGACACTACTACCAACACACACACACACACACATACACACACACACACACACACACACACACACATACTCCTAGCGTGAGCAAGGAAGGGTTGGCTCTCTCCCTGGGAGACCTGCAGTCCTCCTGGATTCATCAGAAAGAGGCAGGGCTCCTGCAGCCACCAGTGAAGAGTAGGGTAAGGGCAGGGCTGGGCAGCCTCTGATAGTGTCCAGACTCATTAAACCTGCCTGGCCAGCACTGTCACCCAGGCCGACAGACTGCCGGCCAGCATCCATCCCCAGAGGCACAGACTCCTCCCTGCTCGCTTACAGCAGATCCTGACTCTGCTGCACACTGGTTGAACAGTAGGGGGGAGGGGGGAGGGCTGGCTCCTCACCTACCACCAAGGGAGTACCATGATGGTGGCTTGAGGAAGCCAGAAAGGCAGGAGAGATGTCTACTCTGAGACTGGAAGAAGTCAGAGGGCCAGAGACATCCATGGCTCAGCCTAGTATGACATCACTGAGGGCTTACATAGTTACAACAAACCCTTAGCAGAGCAAAGCTAGGCCGGGAAATCCCTCCTCATGGCATCTGCACCATTGCCTGGAGCTAGGGTGTCTGCAAGGTTGGATGCAGCGGGATATTGGGATACAGTGAGGGAAGAGAAGCAGGGGTAATAGGTATTATTTAATGAACTACTTTGTGCCCAGCACCATGTCAAAAGTTAACATTCTCTGGAAGGTTAACAGTTCCTAGGCAAATTCAGTACTGCCACTAAACCCTAGATACACAAGAGCACTCCAGCTCAGGAAGATTAAACACCTGCCTAAGGTCACCCAGTTCAGAAGCAAATAAAGGGACTCACAACCACGTTTCCTGCTGCCCTGGCCTGTAGTCTTTGCTCTGTACTACTCTCTTGTCTGCCTGCATGTTCTGAAAGGGTCCCTTGAATGAAAGTGACATTTCTGCTCACGGTCTCCTCTTCAATGCTCAATAAGGCACTCAGCTCTGCCCATATCTGACTGCATGTCATGTCCAATCAGATGGAAGAGGAAAGGGCCCTAAGGTTGAGATGGGTGGGAGCAAGAAAGGCAGGCCAGGCCATCTAAGGTAGAGGATGGGGTGAGTAGAGAAGCTATGGAAATCATGGAGTCCTGTATAATTTGGCCCTGATCCCTCTGTCCCCTTTCTACTCTATCTAGGATAGAGGATCATGACTTACTTGTGTGGGACTTTCCCTGACAACACTTATTAGACCATCAATATGTATATTTCCCCATCATGATGATGAAAAGAATGGTGGTTGCAGGTGTGAGGACAACGAACTACAAGATCCCAGGAATTCATGTGCAGTAAGCACTCAATGAATGTCAAGTTCAAATGCTCTATACTTACCATGTTGCGTGGGTGTTGTCTCAACTGAAGCAGAGCTTAACAAAGTGGCTGAGTCCAGCAGGCCTGGGCTTGAGAACTTCCTTTCCAGGAGAGGTGGGAGGGGGGACAGAGTTGTGCCAAAGAACCCTAGAACAGGAATACATGGGGCTCAAGAGCCACCCTCCCAGCAGGCCACAGAACTTTGGAGAAAAACGTGTCCTCCAGAGCTTGCCTAAAGGAAGTCAAGAGTCCCAGGAATTGTAGCTCATATATTTCTTGTGCTAAGCTACCAGCACCAAACCAGAGTCAATACAGCAAGAAGAAGTCTCCCCTAAAACACAGTACCTCTTTTCTAGGGTCTAGGAGAAGCAGAGTCTTCCCTTGGGCCAAGAAGAGAATGGTCAGGCCACTAGCACAGCGCCTGGCCTGGGGATGCCCCACAAGTGTTTGTTGTAATGAAAAAAGAATGCTCACCTGGAGAATCTGACATTCTGGAATCTGAGCTTGGGAGTGTCGTTGTTCCTGGGAGGCTAAAGCCTGAGAAATTCCGGACTGGGGGCAGAGTAGTACCAAAGAACCCTGCAAAAAGGAGACCAGGCTAAAGCTGCCTCCTACCTGCCAGAGGGCAGTGGGTTCTTAACAACTGGTGCCCAGAAGTGGTTCTGTTCAGATGTGGTAGGTACTCACCAAAAGGTCCCAGGCGCCCAGCAATCTCTGCCAGGCTGGCCCGCAGGCTGGGGAGCAGGGGCAGTGTTCGATGCCCGAGTGTGGGGGCTGCACCTGCTCTCAGTGCCACATCAAACTTCAGCTCCAGCTCACTCTGCTGGGGTCTGGGAACAGTGGATGGAGGTGCCGTGGCTGTCAGAGCAGTGGCCCAGGTCACAGTGCCCGTCCTGGGATGATAGGAGTCAGTGGGACCAGAGAGTGGCGATGTGGACTCCGCAGGCAAAGAGGAGGCCCAGGGCGTAGAGCTGCCTTCAGCAGAGCCCCACTCCGAGGGAGAGTTCCCCAGGGAGCCTACCAGCAGTTCCCAAAAGGGGTCAGTCCTCAGTCCACTGGCCACCTCTTCCCCTGACTCCTGGCCTGGACCAGGCGAGAGAGGTTGGGTCTCGGTGACCGGGTTCCCCCACACAGCAGCAGGTCCCCGAAGATGAAATTTGAAGTTTAGTCCCAGGTTGAGAGACAGCATAGAGGACTCGCTCTGAGGTGGCGGGGTGAGTGTGGTGGGAAGGGCGCCAGGGACGGAGGAGGCAGGCTGGGGGCCCACAGGAACAGCAAGCACAAGCCAGCAGAACAGCCCCAGCCCCAGGCAGCCCCGCCCCGCCATGGCCCCACGTGGCCTCAAGGTGGGCAGGGTCTCACTTCTTCAGAACCTTTTGAGCAGATAGTCCTGGAGAGAGGAGAGGCCTTGTGAGTCCTGGCTGCCACCCTCTTGCTTTCCCAGAACAGAAATGCCTCCCCCCCCACCCCAGAAGTTTCCAATCTCAGAGAAGCAGGAGGAGAGAAGCAGGAGAGAGCTCTTTTGTACCTCCAGGCCCCAGAACATCCCAACTCTTGCCTATCAGGGACTGAAATATGACTGCAACCCTTGGTTGGTCCTCATCCTCATCCTCAGCAGAGAGGAATGGCTTGAATTCTCAGACCAGAGCTAGCCTCTCTCCCTCTTCACCCAACCCTCCTCTCTGGAAAATCCAGAGGCTCCCTAGGTGCCACACTCTTCTAGCAATACAGCTGTGAACAAGCAAGCTCTAGGGAGGGCATGCGATGTGACACCCACCTCCAGCCCGGATCACTGGAAACAGGCCCCGGTGACCTGGCAGAGTGAGCGGGCTCCACCTGAGAAGCAGTAGCCCTAGTCTTGAAGACCCTACAAGTATTGGGGGGAGGAGCGCTAGGCCACTGATTGCTTCCTGGGAAAGATGAGGCAGGGAAGCTGGGCAAAGGGCAGCGGCAGCTTCCCCAATCCCTCCCAAGAACTCTCCCTTACACACACACACACACACAATCTGGTGGGGGAAGGGAGGGGAGAGGAGCCAGGGACACACGTGTACCCAGCAGGCACCCTTACGTCACACACACACACACACACACAGCCACACCTAGCACCCATGACACACTCACCCACTCACCCTTCACATGCCTCTGCACGCGGGTGCGCGGGGTGGGGGCGGGGGGCGCGCGCACACACACACCGCATCCTGCTGAGCCCCCTCTTTCCTACATGGGTTGGGACCCAAGGTCTGTGTTCTCCTGGCCCCCTCACACACCCCCACACACATGTGTACAGAGAGGCGCACACACCCACAACGCATTCACACCGTACCGACACACATCTGAGCCGCCATCCCCCACACCCCTACACACCCACCCGCCCCTCGGGGGCACACATGCACGCGCGCGCGCGCACACATGCACACACTCACTCTTCCCCGAGTGCGGACCCGCCGACCTGCTCCTCTCCGTCCTCCCTCAGGCGGGTCTCCGCCGCCAAGTCCCCCAGGAAGGGGCGTTTGTGGCGGCCCCCACTGGGGCAATGCTCGGTGGAGTGTCGCCGGTTCTTCCCGAGGCTCCGGGGCGCCCAGGCTGGCGATCGGGATCTCCAGACCCCGATGCCCGTGGGCCGACCCGCTGCCCCGCGTCTGCCCCCGGCCCCTGCCCGCGGCCCGCAGCGCCCCCCCTCGCCGAGCGGGCCCGGCTCGGGCTCGGCACTCGGCGCTCCCTCCCCGCGGCGCCGCCTCCTGGCTGCGATCCCAGCTCCCGGGCCCCGCGCGCGCGCCGGGTCCGCGGCAGCCGCCTCTGACGGCCCTCCCTCCGGGCTCCGGCGCCTGCCCGCCCTCCTCTCCCCTCCTCCTCCCACCCGGCCCGCGGTCCGCCCCCTTCCCCGGGCGCGCACAGAGGCTCCGAGCCCCACGCGCGCTCATTCACCCAACGCTGCCAATCCGCCGCGGAGAGTGCGGGCGCCTCCTCCTTCTGAGCCCGGCGCTGGCAGTCACACACTCCTGGGGCGTCCAGCACACGCAGCCACACGCGCTATGCAACACACCTGCGCGCGCGCGTACACACACACACACACACACACACACACACACACACCATGCCCCAGGAATGGCACCCCCGTCACTCTGTAATCCCTTCCCATGAATAAAGCATGCATCGCCCCCCCCATTCTTTCTCACACACAATTCTGTTCCTGTCCCCATTTTACAGATAGGTACAGGGGCTTGAATTCAGGGCTTCTTCTGCTCAAGGCGATTACTCCACCACTTCAGCCACACCTTGATACCTGGTTTCTTGCTAGTTGATTGGAGGTTAAGAGTCACACAGACTTTTCTGCCTGGGTTGGCTTTGAACTTTGATCCTCAGATCTCATCCTCCTGTGTAGCTAGGATCACAGTAGGGAGCCATAATCGCCTGGCCAGATGGGTAACAGGAGGGAAAAAAAATTACTGGATTACCCAAGATTGCACAGCCTGGCAGAGACTTCAACTCGGCCTCTCTGCTTGTCCTCTCACTAGTGGTGGTTTGCAAACAGTTGCACTACTACAACTGAAGTGCCTCCTACACTTCGCAGGCCAACTGCCAAATGTCAATCCTCAAGCAACATCTCTGTGCTAAATTTGTCTCTCCAATACTTAAGAGTTTCAGAAATGTTTGCCCAAAAGAACAGTGAGCAGAGATGCTTTCCAGTAAGACATGAGAGGAGACAGTGAAATGAAAGAGCGAGTCCCCAGCCTCCTCTGAACATCAGAGACAGCCAGCCGACCCACCAGCATCAATTCTCTCTGGATGGCTCACAGACCTGGTAGGCTATAGTAGTGATTCACTGATGTTTGGAATCTCGGAATCCCTTTGTTTTCTCTCCCAAATACTAGTATTTAGAAGCATCAAGAGAACATAAAAACCTGAAGTTTTCTGCATTATTCAAAGCTTTTCCTCAAACCCCTGATGCTCAACCTGGGTGCCCAGCCCAATGGGGCAGGGGGTGTGCTTTAGAAGAGTTCCTTCCCTTATTTCTCATGACAAGCCATATAGAGGGAGAAAAATTATTGTCAGCGTGTTAGAGCCCTGGAGGTGGCTTTGAACTTCTCTCCTCCCTACCCCTTCTACTCTGTAAAATGGCCATGGAGTTGCTACCTGTAGAACTACCCAGGCAGCCAGGCACCAGTGGCTCAAGCCTGTAATCTGAGCTACACAGGAGGTTGAGTCTGAGGACTGAGGTTCAAAACACCCCAGACAGACGAAAGTGTGAGACTTTTCTCTCCAATTAATCAGCAAAAAGCCAGAACTAAAGATGCAACTCAAGTGGTAGAACGCCAGCCTTGAGTGGGGGAAAAAACACAAGAGTGTGAGGCCTTGAGTTCAAGCCCCGGTAACAACACACACACACAGAATTACCTAAGCAATGGGGCAAAATGACCCAAGATAATTCCAACTACTCTGGAGGTTGAGGTAGGAGGATGATAAGTTCCAGATCATTGTGGTCAGCACAATAAAATATCACCATCACCAACCCATAACTCCATCTCCACCCTTCCTCCCCTCAAAAAAAAATTACCTAGGTCAGGTTTACCTCATAGAATTAGCATAACACTTTGCCTGAGATAGGTACTGCTAGACTATTTGTAAGTAAATGAATGTGAGGTCCCTGTGTGCGATGGCAGCACTTCAGAAAGCCATTTGGAGCTCATTTCCTGATCACAGAACCCCCTCCTCCCAGATGATATAAAAGCAAATCAGACCCCCTGCCCACCTGATGAAGTCTGAGATTTGTTCTGAGCCTCTAAATGACTGCAATGGGCATTGTTTGTTGCACCCTGCATTCAAGGGGTTATTCTTCTTCCCACTGTTGGTCCATCAAAGGCTGCCTGCAACAGCAGACTGGGAGTCAATCTCTGATTTTCTTTCTTTCGTATACTTAATAAAAATTATCCCACTAGAAACATTTCATGGAATCTTCCTCATCGAAAGGTTCATTTCCTGCTAATCATGCTCACTTAAAGACTTCTAAATGGAAAGGCAGAAATAAAAATACCCCAAGTACATTAAAATAGCAGTCCTCCATGATCAAGTAAGGTGATTCCTAAGAATTACATTTTTTTAAGATATTGAGAAGGGAATTTAAAGGTTTGGGGTAAGATAGTGACAGAAGGCATATATCTAATTTCCCTCTCCAAACCCTACTAAATTTTCAATAGAGAGATTTTGAAATCAAGAGCTAAATCTGCAAGGATGCAGAGAGCAGGAAAGGAGATCACAGAGCAGAACAGCAGGCAGCCATGCAGTTACTGACTTATCAGCCCCGAGGAAAAAGGCATCTCCAACTGGCAGAGGGGAAACTGAGAGTCAACTTGATTTACATTGCATAAGTCACAGAAGGCACAGAAACTGGCAGTTCAAGGTGCCTCTGGGACTCTGAAAGGCATGGCTAAAGTCAAGGTGAAATACAGTCAGAGTTCTGGGATTCTTCCCATATTCGAAACCACTAGGTAACTGATCTTCTCATTTCCCAGCCAAGGTCTGGAGGATCTTCCTCTAAGAAGGTAAGTGGACTGGAGACATTTCCCAGACACTGAATATAAAGATCCTGGGCTTCTCCCACAGACAGGATTGCCAAGTGGTGGGAGCAAGACCTTTGCTCTACATGATAAAGGCCAGAAGTGTCTATTCTAAAGCATATCCCCAGCTCATGAGGGAAGACCCAATGAAATGGACATAAAGGCTCTGTAAAAATTCCCAAATGGATCACCTGTCAGTATCACAACCAACCCATGAGCTCAGAGGTTCTAACCAGTCGCTCATCCCCCACCCTCCACCTATAATCATAAGCAAAGATGACTATTCAGGAAATTTTCTAACACAGAAGAGGAAGACAAAACACACAGTCCAAAAAGGCAATGTAAAGGAAACAGGTTAGACAGGGAGAAAAAGTCATCAAAAGAGGCCATTAGTTATTATTATCTTTAGAAGAAAGTACTGCATCCATGATCCAAGAATAAGATGTGGAGGCTGGGAAGGTGGCTCAGTGGTAAAATGCTTGCCTCACATGCATGAGGCCCTGGATTCAATTCCTCAGCACCACATAAACAGAAAAAGCCAGAAGTGGCACTGTGTCTCAAATGGTAGAGTGCTAGCCTTGAGCTGAAGAGCTGAGGGACAGAGCCTAGGCCCAGAGTTCAATCCCCACAATGGACAAAAAAAAAAGAAGAAGAAGAAGAAGATGTGATGCAAAGGAACATTTAGTTAACTGCATGAGTACCTAACATAATGCTGCACTCCTGTACCCATAACCTCAGCATTCAGGAGGTTGAGAGATGGAGAGTCTATGTT